AAATGGTAGAAAGGCTTTCTCCCGCAGTTTATATGGTGTTTAAGAGCATAGAAATAGAGTCAAAAGTGTGTGTTCATGGGTGGGATGTTCTGGGAACCCCACCAGCCACCAAATGGCTTTAATTTTCACTGGCCAGAGTCAACACGTACAGTAAACAGCACATTTTAAACTATCTGTTTTTTGTTTGTGCGACCCGTCATTTGTTTAACCCTGTCCTCAGAAAGAAAATAGCCCCCATTACACCCATGTTTAGTTACAAGAAGCATCTTATTTGATCCCTGCGTTAATTAGTTTATTCTATGCTTTTTTTCTTTCTTTCTTTTTTTTTTTTTTTTTTTACAGTAAACGGTCTTCCAGACAGACGCGGACCTGGAAAATGACGTGTTCCTGCTAGATAGATGTGTTGTAGAGGATGTAATGGAAAATGCGTCCATGCAAGATCAGGCAGGGAAATCTATGGCTGCATCAGATTAGCAAACGTCAAGAGTCCCAACAGTGATCAGATGAAGGCAGAGAGGGGAAGCAGAGAGGGAGGGGGCCCATGCTGGTAATAGAGATAGGAGAAGGGAGGGGGGCGTCAATGATGAGGTTTGGTGGGAAAAGTAGCAGGAACATGGACAATTACCCGGGATGTTTATCGAACATTCATTCTTCATTATTGGCTGTTTGACAGAGGTAAGAGAACGATAGAAACAGAGATATCTGTGTACATTTTGAAAGCCTCTGGCACTCTAAACCAAAGTTGCCTTTGATGACGTTCAATTTTGCTGTGATTTTTGTTGCAAAGATCAAAATCGGACATTTACTCCCTGACCATCTTACTTTTTCAGTTTTTTAACAAAAGATGTCATGGGTAGTTGGAGTTTGTCCTTAAAAATGGAATGATCTTACTTAAAAGTGAGGATACATCACATTCACAGTGCACCATCATACACCGCATTCACATAAAAACACACAAAGATTGAATCAACACAAAGTTGGGCTGGACAGCATATGCCTTCCCCCTCATCCTCAGCTGTGGATGAGGGGGAAAAAAGAATAAATCACAAACATTTTCCTTTTAACTTGAAAAGATTTTTGACACAATTTCATGCTGATTTTGAAAAAAACACATCTCTGGAGAAATTAAATCACCATGGTGCTCCGTTCAAGCTCCATTATTGCATTGAAACTTAATTTGACTCTGTTTGATCAGTGTGGTGATCGCTGTTATGAGAAAATACAAAATTACTGATTAATAGCCCTCAATGATGAAGCTTTGAGGGGTGACATATTTGATTTAAATGTCTGGTAACTTGTTCGAGAGGGTGACAAACACAATAACAGCTTCGGAGATATATTTCAAGACTGAGCTAACTGTCAAATCATTGTTTAAGATTTTGATTGATGGCTAACGTTTTGTAACCATTTGTCTGTGCTGATGGTAATAAATTATCGACAGAGAGCTTTGCTCTGTTGGAATAAATAATGTTTGTTACAGTGTCACTTGGTTTGTTCTTTAGTAAGTCGATCAAAAGAAAGTAGACATTGTTTTTTCGACATAGCCGGAAATGTTACATTATGATGTATTGTGAAGTGTATTATTTATGGTGCACTTTAAAAGCTAATGTCATTTTTACCTAAATGTTCATGGAAGTGGAGCTTTTTTTTAAAAATGGCTTGTGGAACCCACTCAGAACCATGGATGGACTTTGTTGTTGTTTACAAATATATATTATCCATCACAGTAAAAGAAGCTAACATATTCAGGCAGTTGAGAGAAAACAAACACCAAGCTTTAATTTACTGTTTCAAATTGATGATCTGCTTGCACTGAATCTAGACTTGTTTATGAATTTACTGTCATGAAATCCCCTAAATTTCTTTCTTCCCTCTTCTCATCTCTGGGGCTCCTTCGAAAAAGAAAGCTGTTTACTTTATCTAAAAGTGGAAGTTTGGCAAAGGAGCGTGTGAACAGAAACAGATGCTGCATACTTTCTTGTTCTGTCACTTTCTCACTCCTTATCTCTCTCTCTCTGTCACACACACACACACACACAAGCACACACACATTTGCACACACACAATGGCAAACAGCTGCATCAGGCTTGTGCGGCTACATTGGAATAAGTTGAGTATGACTACTTATAGAAATATGGACCGATAATAAAGATAACAATATGATTACATCTTGCCATGATAATCTCATTTTTGTGACCTGTTTTTTGGTAAGAGCGCGTATATGCGCCTAAAATCAATACTTTCCTTAACGTACACTATAGCTGTGTTTCTAACCTTGAGAAAATAAAAATAGATGTTTGAAAAAGAAAATGACACATTCTCTTTTATTGGTGTTATTTGAACAAACTGAGCTGTTTTTTTTTCTAATGCTTACAATAAAGTACGGGAAAAGCCTGTTGGAAATTGCAAAAACAAGCATCAAGCAGGTAAAAAATATTTATTGTGGTGGATGTTCACAGCAGGACAATAAGTGGAGTCTTTCATCTATCTACAGATTACATGTCTCTGAGGATAAGAGGGATATTGTTTCAAATCTGAGAGGATGTCAACCACATGAATATTGTTTCTGGCCATAAGGAACAGATGAGCCCCATCATTCAAGTAAAAATTCCCTAACCCTAACCCAAACAGTAGACACACAAGTAACTGTACATTTAAAATCGATTTTTAGACTTTTAAGCAAACGGTTTTTCATGTTTGTCAATTTTTTGTTTATTGAGATGAATTAACAAGGTCAGTGAGTGCTTTGCCCTAATTTCATAACAGTGTGAGGAAGTTTCATTCTATGGAGGACTAGAGCTGTGGTTGCTGAGCTTTACTCGGGAGCTTTGTGATATGTCTGGAGGGGAGGTGGTGTTAGGATACTCTCAGTTATCCGCATTCTCTCCATTTGATCCAGACATTCCTCAATGTTCATGTGGGAAAATGTCTGTAGAACAAGGTCTGGACATTATCTGCATGCTCTTTCGGACATATGCTAAACAAGAGGACAGTCTCATTACGAGACCGCTTTACACACAAAGCAGGACTTAGAATAATAAACAATGTACGCTGTCGAAGCGGCACCCTTTTTGTCCTTTACAGCACATGAAGCATGGCAGGAAGGGCTACTGTCTTTCTTTTTTTATCAAAATATCTCCTGTTTTATTTTTATACATGGATAGAAAGATGTGTTTGCATTTGACCAACACAGATGAAAAGTAAAAAAGCAATATACAAAGAAGAGAAAGAGTAATCCCAGTAATGACTTTGCTTTTTGATGCCACGTTCACATAAACAGCGTACTCCATTGTGGGTGTAACCGTCCCAATTATTGCTGCCTGATTATTTTGTTTAAAGCCTGAGAAAAAAAAATTGATCAGAGTACACATGTGTCATTCATTCCGGTCACAAACAGAGTCTAGACTCTGATTGACAAAGCTCCCTGAGGATCTCTGTCAGAAAAGAGCCCAGATTTTGTGTTAACGTTCATCTTCCTGGTTTGGGCCTGATCCGGACAGTAGGGAGGTTGGATGCAACCGAATCTAATTGGCCAGTTCCCAATTCGCGCACGTTCTACTGTGAAGATTGCAGTCTACCATCAAGAAGCAGTCTTGAACGTGTACATTGTCACCATGAATCCCCAGTCTATTTACCTGCCACATGGTGACTAAAATAAGACTGATCTGTCTGATATGTGCAGACTGTATTTCCTAATCTCGTTTGAATATCTTCTTGAAATTTCAGGGCTACTCCGCCATGTGTTAAAGCTGCTCAGCCAGGAGGTTTTATCCATCAGCCATGCCTGCTTCTAACCTTCTGTGTGCCGCAATCACATGTTGGTTACCGTATATTTCTGCAGATGCTAGGCCTTCTGCGTTTCTCCGTCTTTTCACCCCCTTCGCCACCCTCCTCTTCCCTCACCGCCACCTGGCCCTGCCTCTGAGCATGCTGACTGACCAGATGCACCCTGAATAGAGCAGGCATAAAAAAAAGGGGTGGGGGGGTGGGGGGCAGTGGTGGTTATGGATGAATATTCAGCCAAATACAGATTTTCACTCTGAACAAATACACGAGACACATTTAAGTGTGCGGAACAAAAGGAATAGATACCTCAGTGTTGGGAGTGTAACTGTTCTCTGTAAAGTCATAAGAAGTAAGGCACTGAATAGATATGAATTTATTCAGAGCCGTGCAGGAGGGCACGTTTATTTGTCACTTAGGTTAATGAACAGGGGCATCAACTCCTTTTAATGAAGGTTTGTGTTTATCTGACGATGTGTCCTTGTTTGTTTAGGAGAGATATGACAGTCTGCGGATTCTCACGTGTTTAACGTGTCCTCCTAATGGCTGGTTGTGTCATTAAAAAGAGATTAGCGCCCTGTTTGCTTTAGGTTTAGGATGAGTTTAACACAATCTTGACGCAAAGTGCTCAGGGAAATAAGCAAATTAAGTCCCCAACTGCCCGTGCAGGACCAGGAACCTGCACTGCCCTGTTCACGAGGACGGGAATACGTCACGCAGTGGCTTAAGAGTTTAACTCGGGCAAGACGGAGCGCTGAGGGGCAAGGGGAGAGAAGAAGAGAGGAGATGTATAACTCACTCATCCTCGAGTGTCCCCTATTGGTTTGGCCGCTGAGGCTGAAGAAGTCAGACAAAAGAGGGCTTCAGGGAGAGCGCCTCACAGGGGTGATGAGGTGCTTCATATAAAAACGTTTTAAGAGGGGATCCCCACTTCTCCTGATGGGGGTGGAAGGACTGGGATAGCTAAACCCCCCCCCCCCCTCCAACGGGCCCCCCTCTACGCCCACATATGCAGATGCTCACACACATGTTCCTCTCCCTTGGCTCAGCTTCTTGTTTAGCCTTTGGGTGCCAAAGCAATTAGTTATGTTAATTGCAGGGCCCGTTGACGGTGAATGCAGGTTGAATGGGGCCAGTGGATGATTGGCTGGGATCCACAAGGAGTGGGTGGTGGTGGTGGAGGAGGAGGAGGAGGAGGAGGAGGATGAGGGGGCGGGATGGGAGCCGTGACGTCACGGGGCGATCATCCCATGAACGCAGGAGCGGAGAAGTGTGGGAAAACGGGGGAGGAGCCTGAGCTTAGAGAGAGAGAGAGAGAGAAAGAGAGACAGAGAGAGAGGGAAGGCGAGTGTGGGAGGCTCAGAGCTTGAGAGAGCACAGCCTGAAAGAGGACGCAAAGCCGAGAGCGAACAGAAAGAGGCACGATCGGGCCACCTCAGCGCAGAAAAACCCACTAACAGGAGCAGGAGTGAAAGAGAGAGCTCCGCATGAGAGAGATCACGACCGAAAAGGCGTTTGGAAAGTCAGAGAGAGAGCGTAGGTGTGTGTGGGTGTGTGTGTGTGCGCAATCGTGTGCGCGCTGCAGCGTTTTTTTTTTTTTTTTTTTTTTTTTTGCTGGTCCGCTCGGTTATCTGTCTCCATCTGGGTGCCATCTGCGTCTCTGGCTCTGGCCTTCGCCACACTGGAGCTCACATATGTGGGAATGCAAACACATGCCTGACATATGAAGGCGCGGAGTCCCAGAAAAGGACAAAAAAATAAAAGCAGCAAAAAAAAGAGAAGAAAACTCTGCCCCCCCTCCAGCTGACTTTCTCCCAGGACTGAAGAGCGGACTCTACTAGAGTGGAGGTAGGAGCCAGTCTGGGTTTTAACTTCTGGGGGGTATTTATTTGTTTATTTTTTTAGTGGTTGTTGCTGTTTTGAGAGCGTGTGTTTCGGCAAACGACGCGCTCCGTGTGTGTTGGTGTGTGTGTGTGCGCGCGTGTGTGTCCATCCTGATTCCCAAAGCTGCTCAGTCCTGTACAGATGGTGTCTCATCCTCTCCTCTTTATCTCTTCATCCTGTCAGCCGAGGCATGAGCCAGGCTTTCTTAACATGTGCCCAGAAAACCCTCTCCTGCTGTCTGGTCAGAGGACACGTTTCTCTTCTCTCCCCCATCACTTGTCTTCAACTTATCAACCCCTTTTTCCTCGTTTTTGGCAGGATGGGGAATAATCTGTTTTCTTTTTCTTCTAAGATGAATGATGTTGCTCCAATTTAAATAATGTTTTCCCTTTCAATTCTCAAATATTTTCAACATAGATCATTAGAATAAAAGCACCAGTGTTCCCATACAGGGTTTTCCACCCTCAGCCTTCCTTTATTTTCCAGGTTCCACCATTTTCTTCAACTTGTATCATTTGTAGAAACTTAACCTACCTGGAATTTTTTTTTTTTTTTCCTATGAATTTTGGCAGCCAGACGAATAAACTTGGCTATATTAGATTTGCCTCGTGTGTGAATGAGGCTCATCCCACAGCTGTCATTTACTTAGACAGTAATCAGCTTTTCCACATGGCAAACAGAGCAGAAGAAACTGTGTAAAGAAGACGTGTGCATCTGCTGTACAGTGTCCCCCGCCATATGGGAAAAGTAGGGAAACTGCTGTCTCTCTGCCTTCCATGCCTCGTGCACACGCTGATACTGGTATTCATCGTTGAATTGGTGAATTCTCAACGGCAAGTGTCTTCATTTTTATTCAAGTTTTTTTTTTTGGCATGGATGATCTGAAAGGAGAAGGTGTGCGAGGGAGAAGCAGACAGAGGGAAGACAGAGAGACCTGGTCAGTGTCAGGCCGGGCCAGGCCAGTCCAGCTGGGAGATAGGAGCGACTTAACTGTGGGCTGCACAGTCTCAAACCAGAGACCCCGGTCTGGTCTGCTGGACTCTGTCATTCTCCTGACAACGCAAAACCGTGCCGTATCTCTGTGCGTCTATTAGGAGGACATTCCAGTTTTCTCCGATTCAGAAATGTCCCATTTTTCTGCTCATTCACTCGCTGTGAGTTGTGGCAGATTTTTTCTCATGCACTTGGGTGGCTTTGAAGTTGGCTGATCACACGCTTGATAAGTGTGTGTTTGACTAAAGGAAGTGAGTGTGTCTCCATGTGTGCACCAGGTGTCTTGCAGACATTGTGTCTGCGGATACTACAAGGTTAGCTGTCTTTTAGCTCTGTGGCTTTTTTTTCTTTGTCTTTGACCCCAACCCACCCCCCCCATTTGTTTTTTTTTTATGTTTTCGCTGTAAGTGTAGCAGTAAATACAGAGTCAAACCACAAGGACCCCTTCTCACCCTTTCTGAAGTATTCCTCACAGAATACTCTCATTTCAGCGTGCACAGATCCACTAAACAGAGCAGCTGCTTGTAGGGGTTTGTGCAGGAAGTGCTCTATTAGTTCCAGTGGCAAGGGCGGTGAGATCTGGCCCTGGGGGTTCAGGAAGAGGCTGTGGATTTAAATGTGTGTCCGTGACCGGGGTAAGTCATTTACTCAACAGAAAATACCGCGCTCAGTTACACCGTAAATTACCGCTTCATTTCCTATTTGTGTCAATACCCCCCCCCCACGCAGGTGTGTACGTAAGTAACTGAGCACCTGCACCCGACATCCTTCATCCCATGTCTTATAGGCCAGTTGACATTATTGCCTCTCTGCTCGTGCTAAGTGCATGAGTCAGGGTCTGCTGACCGTTTACTGTCCCGAGAGACCTCAGCTCAGCGACCCGAAGAGAGACCTTCGTTTACTGGGCTGGTGCGGTCTGAGGGAGGCAGCGGCACATGCTGAAAAGGCTGTAAATTCCCCAGATGTCGCTCGGTCGCCGACGGGGTCACCTACGGTCTTCACACTGCTTCGTGGAGCGAAAACATGTTTCTGCCTTCTGCCAAAATGTGGGAAAGGTGACTCTTGTACTCGTGGAGACAACGCCAAATGCTCAGTTTTCCCCTATTTTAACACACAGACAGAGCGGTGGGACCCAGAGCAGTACAATGTACCTAAAGTTGAGCAGTTTAGTAGAAGGGCTGTCATTTTCCAGTGCAAAAAACCCGCCTGCAGTCCATCCACAGGGGAATTTGGAAAGGAAGGGGTTGGGGGGGGGGGGTTGCTGTGTTGTTAGGTGTGTGGGTGGACAAGAAAACGGGTGGTGTTGCCTCCCTGAGTTGTCTGTCATAGTCATTAATTTTTCCTCTGTCTTCATGTTTTCCTAACTCCTATGTCAGGGACATAAAACAGAGTTCCTTCTCCAAACGCTCTCCTCACGTCGTGTGATTTTCTTAAGGCTTTAAAAGCTGAAGTATGCGGGCACGTCTGTAATTAAGCGGCTGGATATCGCATGCCGGGGATACACCGTGCTCTCTGACACAAGCGCAGGCAACTCCCAACAACGCACACACTCACACACACACACACGCGCTCGCTCGTCCTCCACAGCTTTCCCCATTCCATTCCATTGTTGGGAGCACAGCTGGCCTCTTTGTTTGACTTATCTGTCTCGCCCAGCGTTTGCTGAGCTCTGGTCTCCCGCACAGCTGGGCTCCGCGCTTGCCCACGGCTCTGTTTACAGGCCCGAACACGCCGCTCCGCACAGCTCCCGCTCACTGCATCACCCCCGGGCGAAAAGGTGAAAGATTAGGATAAAGTCTTGGCTCAGGTCCAAACTGGGCTCTTTGTGAACCAGGTGAGATGCGCCTCGGTGGGCTGATGCCATCTGAATGTTCCGTCTGTTTTACGTCTTTTGTTTTTATCAGCCTCTGCAACGTCCAAATGCAGAATGCGTGTGTTAGTGTCGACTTGAGACAGGCAGTATTTGGCCTGGCTGCAGTTTCAACTGGCTCCCTTGGTGTGTAATTTATAGTAGGTACCAAGTCTTAATTCTCCAGACAGACACAAATATGTATGCACATCAGAGCATTGAGAGGAGCTATATATCTGTTCCGCTAACACCGTCTTCGCCCTGAGATGAAATGTGCATCGGGTGGGGGTGAAGAAAACAGCAACACGATTTAGCTTTAACGTCATGCTCCCTTAAGTGCTGCAGCTGACTGTTTTCCACCCGGCGGTTTTGGGTTTAAAGACTCACCCGGCTCATGGTGATTGATGCCTGGGCTAACCAATTAGTCACAGAGAGGTGAGAAGGGTTGTAACCAAATAGGAAGATAATCCGGTGCGTTCGGAGAAGGGGGGGGGGGAGCTGCTTCGGATCCTTTTGTGATAGGAACGTGACTGGCGGAGCTGGATTGTTCTGGCCGTGCCACTGTTGTTATCTGCGTGGGGGTGTGTGCATGTGCCCCCCGGGGCAGACCTTTTACTCGGGGTGTGAGCGGTGTGTTACTGTCTGTCCTCAGCCTGCATGATGAGGGCGGATAACAAACCTCAACACCTGGATAACGGGGCCAGTGCGCGGGCACGATGACACATTTCCACTCCTGGCTCGGATCAGCCGTGGCCCAGCTGTTTGTGACGCGGCCTGAATGTGTCTGAAGAACAGAACTTCATTTGGCCTGTTGATGGTTGGGCTTGTAGCAGAGATCATGTGGAAGTGTATATGTGTTAGTCTCTGCCGGAAAACTGACTGGAAACTGACTTTTATAAACTGAATAAAGACTTGAGTCTTTTATTCCTTTTTATTAGGTCTACGTATGTGTTGTAATCATGGTTCTTTCTGGAAAAAAGGGTGAACTAGCATGCTCGTTTTTCATATTTTCTGTTCAGAAATTTAATTGCTTTCAGTATTTTTTTTTTTTTTAATTGAGCAACTTTCTCTCCTATCCAGCTGTTCTCCCTCTGGTCTGACCTCATATGCACGTGGACACTGTCCGTGCTCAGAGTCCCAACATCTGCCAGGCCTCCTCCTCCCTCCAGCGTCACATCGCCGTACCTCCGTTTTACTGCTCATTCTGGGTTTTTATAGGCGACGTCTGTCTGCCTTGCCATCCCCTCTTTTCGTTCTCTGCCACTAAGTACATTTCCATGTGTGGGTCCCTTATTTCACTATGTGGCATGGCGGATCGCGGCAGTGTTTTTGCAATTATCTCACACAGTGATGAGGTTATGCAAGGGCTTCTCTCACCATTACTCTGTCAGGAGCACATGCGAGGAATTCACCTCAGGGACATTTCTGTGCTTTTTCACATGCGCACACAGACAAACCTCAAAGTGTTTTCACCTCCATTTCTCCACAGTTCACCCCGTCCTCCCCTCTCAGTTCTTTTTATACATAGCTCTTGCTTTTACCCTTACTGTCAACCTTGCCACCTCCACACTGCTCCCCATCCTAGCAGAGTGTTGACATTGGGTTTTATCCAAATATGTAGTCTACAGGTCTGGAGGGTTGGTAATGAGAGCCAAGAAAAACAGCCTGGCTCCGAGTCTCTGACAACCAGGCTTGTCTTCCCAATGAAACTAAATGAAAACAGTATTTTTCTCTCCTTGTTATTCCCTCCTCCCCAGTCTTCCGTCTTTTTCTCTCTTTTGGTGTCCCTGTAATATCATTGCCTCCGTATTTATAACTAATGTCTTCATTCATGTCAGTGCTTCGTTGAAAACGCACACAAGGTCGTACTGTGATAGCAGAGAGACGATCCCCAAGCTAAAAAAGAAAAAAAAAGAAAACAAAACAATGTCTTTTTGTGATAAAGCCAGTTTAATGCAGCTGTCTGACTTTAAAATGTCACGGTGGAACGTATTTTGAAAAGAATGCAGATGCATTTTTAAAACGAGCCGCTATGAATAATGCTGTGAAGAAATAAACCACTCTTTAATGTAAAAGACAAACGGCCTGAAAGCAACAGTTGAAGACGTGTCGGTCCCAAGAGAGCAATCGTACGAACTCAGCTGATTGAATTAATTAAGGGTTCATGCCTCCTGATTTTAAGAAAATGTCTTAACACTATGTCATTGAACCTGTTGTTTATCTCTACGGCTGTAACAACCGACACACACAGAGAGAGAGAGAGAGAGAGAGAGAGAGAGAGACCACGCACAGCTGAATTATCTCTTTTTAAGTGGATGCGGTTGTGTTGCTGCATGCACCCTGGCGCTGGGCGAGTGGGTGGAGGTCAGGAGGGAGCCTTGGCTAGAGGAACAGATGTGTGCTGTATTGTGGCTGTGTGCGTGGATGGACGGGGACCAGGTGCAGCCTTTGTCTCCCCAGCATTTAAGTCCACTCACTCGCATTCAGCTGCCTCGTGCCACCCCTCCCCTCCCCTGCACGGCCCCCCCCTCCTCCTTCCTCCGCTCATTGGAGGGAAGGCAAAGATGTGTGTGTGTCTGTGTGTGTATGTGTGTGCCGGGGCTGCCTTGGCCTGGAGGAGGAGGCTCCAGCAGTCCCTTCTGCGCCCCCCTCCTCCCTCACAGGTGACTGTTGGAGGTCCCAGCTGGCTAGCTCTTGGCCGATTAGATCCATATGGTACAGGAGGGGGGGGGGGAAGGCCTGGTTAATGTCCAAATCAATTGCTGTTGTCTGTGCTTTTAGTTGAGATTTTTCCTATTTTTTTGGTTAGCTTTTCTGATTATTTCAAGGCTCCATTTTGTTCGAAGGACCAGTTTACTTTGATACTACTTTTGTGCAGCTTCATTTAAAGAGGTATTTTTAAATGTCTATGTACTTAGTTGGATATATTTCTAACCATGCTTGGTGCAAATAGAGGACACGTGGATGTTTTACATTATCTGTCCTTACGAAGACAAAAAACTTTGCAATATTAACTTTGACCGTTGTTGGCTATTAAGGCATGTACACAAAATATTTGAATTAAAATTCAATTACTTCGAAGGGACTGTGTTCATAAAAAAGCCACCATGTGGACGCTAACTTGCTTGTTTATTTTATGGATTAACAATGTCGGGTATATATTTTAAATCTGCAGATCCAGTATTGTATGGCTTTTTGTCCTGAACAGGCTTTCCATCCATTTTTTTGTTATTTTTTATAAATGCTAAACCAAAAACATACATTTCTGCTTTTTATGTCATTCTTTTAACAAGCAAATTGAAAGTTGGATCCAGTTGGGAGCCCACGTGCAGGTTAAGTGCAGGTGTGGGCGCTAACGTGTTAACCCAAACCAACATAGTTTTATCATCGCGCATGCCATGAATTTTCTTTTTGTTTAGTGATAGATTAGCCGAGCCTGTGTTACATCTTCCCTCACCTCATCTACATGACAAGACAGAGATAACAGAAAGCATAGCCATCGAACACAGCTGCCAGCCCTTCAGGGAGAGTTTAGGCTCCAGACTTAAAACAAGAGCTTCATAAACCCTAACAAAGAACACTTTTATTTATGCAGTGAATCCAGTATGATTCATTTCTGCTGACAATGGTAGGTTTTCCTTTACATAGCAGATAAATGAACGGCCTTGTAACATATTCTTTTCATTTCCAACATTATCAGTTCATTTATTCTTGGTTGTGGCTCGGCAAAAGTAGTTGTTTTTCTGTCCCCTTTTTTCTCTCGATCTCAGTCTTATTCTGAATGGTCACCTGTGGAGGCAGGGGCAATTAGAGCTGGCTGGATGTTTTAATGCAGACGAGCGTCACCTGAAGCTAAACAAACAAGGAGCACCTGGCTGGAAACAGCCATCACCATAGATGCATTTTATCTTTCCATTCTAGCAATAACTACCGTGGTAGAAATCAAACACAAGTGACTTATAAGGTTACATTTCCTTTTATCTGTTTGGGAAGACATGAACGGGAAGAGCGGCAAAAAGTGGTAGGAGCAATGTCCAGTCCTTTTTAGCTTTGTTAGCCCCACATCTTGGAAGGATTTTGAAATAGACCATCTTATATGTAGTCCTCATCACGGAGTCTTAATGTAAACTGGTCCATGTATGATGGATGATTTGTGTACCCTCTCTTTGTTCCATTAGAACAAGGATGACAGGTGGCATTTAGACCAGACAAACAGCCCACATCCTCCTTTTAAAGCCAATATTCACCTGAGTTAACATTAGACCACTTTATGCACCCTGTGCATATGTGCTTTGTGGTTTGGGCGACAGCTGCCTCCCCTGACGGTCCGGTGACTATGTGCGATTGGACTCAGGTGTTTGCAAGCCAGATGAAGTCATCCAGCGATGTGTGCTGTCTAATTGACAAGCAGAGGCAATTCTCTGTGGGCTGTCAGCAATACATGTACACACCTGATGTCCCTTGTTTTTGGCCATTACCTCTGGCGCCATTAACAAGAGGCCCGGCCACGTCTTTAAGATCCTGTGATCGCAGCTGCAACCTAATTTCTCACTTCCCCTCTGAAATGGGTCACACAATGATTCATTTATCGGTCGACCATGCTTGTATTCTACAGCCTTATCCATACCTGTTGGTCGTTGAGATTTGGATCTCCAAAATACGTCCGTCAAAGGTTTCAATACATTGGATACTCAAATGTAAGCTGAACACCCAAAGGTTTGTGTGTGTGTGTGTGAGTGCGCGTACATGCGTGTATGAAGTTGTTTACATGGTAACAGTGTTGACACTAAGGCCATATGCCCCGTTGATTCTGTTATTGAGATGTCAGTCTAATTTCCTGGCCATACGGGCGGAGTGTGCGGGGCTTTGGAAGCGGTGTGTGTTCATGCCGCAGGCTGCTTCCTGCGGTGCGCTGGCAGACCGCGTGCGTGTGGTGGCTGCGGCAGTCCAAATGTCTGCGTCGAGCCCTCCTTCCTGCCCCCCTGTGTTGGCGAACAGGTGGAGCGATGACAGGCAGGCCACGGGGCTGGGAAAGAATGAGGAGGATAAAGGCAGAGGGAGAGAGAGGTTGAAGAGGACTGCGAAACAGAAGGAAGAACAGTCAAAGTGGTATAATGAGCTGCAGGCCTGACGGATGAGTTGCACAGGGAAGACTTAGGACTTGAAAGGGAAAAGGATGGAGCAATGTGGTGTCAACACAGCAGGGTTATATCCTCAGGTTTAAACCTTACTTTTTCTTTTATTTTGTCACTTTGGACTACCTCGCATTCTTAATGCGTTCATATCTGTGGGTGTTTACGTATTTTTGCGCCAATAAAATGGATGTTTACTTGTTCAAAAGGGGTCTTTAGTATTCTTTTCAGTTGCTCATTGACAGCTAAAACCTTCCAACTCGAGCCTTTATAAACTGGGACCCTATGGCTCAAGGCCATCGAGAGTTCATAGCTGTGAAAAAGATATAAAGGGTGCCATTGAAACCAAAGCCCTAAAACCATGAAACCACATTTTAAAAGCTGCTCTCTTCTGACCCATGACCTGCGAGACCATGCTTGTCTATTAATCGTCAATTCTCGAAGCAGTTAGGAAAGTCTGATCCACTCTAAATGGAGACGGGACCCGGCCTTCATGGATCTCCGGGAGACAAAGGCGGCTTCTGATCCCACATCTCCCCACCACCACGCCCCCATTACACTTTCTCCAAACCCCTTGTCTGGTGGTCTTATTCACCCGCAATGGCATATTGAAAAGTTGCGTTTAACATTCAAAAGCTTTGCCGATCTTGTTAGTAAAGCGTGAAATAGCCCCGGCCCTTTCTTTCTGTCTCTTTTTCTTTCTTTGCCCCCCCCCCCCCCCCCCGAAGCTCAATGAGGGGGCATTCTACTCCCACACAATAGACTTCTTCAGCATTTCTTCTGTTATTGATCTGAATGGGTGAGAGTGAGGGGCTAAACTTTAGACATCTGGCTCTTTGATGGGGGCAGGGTGGTTGATGCCCCGGCAAGAGAAGTATGAAGAGAAGTCTGAGGTGGGGTGGGGGATTGTTTTAGTTTTCTTCTTTAGCTATAGACCAGAAACTTTTGTATTAATTTAACCCATTGAGCAGAGAGTTAAACTGGCTTTGTTGTCTTGTTTCTTCCTAAACCGCCCATGCTGTCATTCTTTCTAAGTTTTTAAGCATTTTTATTCACTCGACTTATACCAAATTTAAATGTTACTACTCGGAACAACGCACACAGGAAAAAACCTGGTCCCAATTATAATTCACTGCGTTCTTCTAGTGCTGACAAAATGTTTGGAAAACTGTTTTGTGACCCGCAGCTGACCTCTGACCTTTCTTCTCTGCAGACAGTAGAGAGAAGAAGAGCCCTGCCATGCCCGGTTCGCCTGTGGATGCTAAGACTCATTCCAGATCAGCCCCCAGCAGCAGTGCCAGCTCCACCATGCCGCCCCTGCCCTCTGTCAATCCCAGCGGTCCTCGTCCGGCCTCGTTTTCCACCACAGCACGTACGACTACTGACCTCCGCTCTCTCTCTCTCTCTGAGTGTTTTGTGGTTCCCGTGCAGATTGAGAGCATCTGGCCTCGGGTTTGTCTTAATGCTAGGCCTCCTTATCTCTCCTCTGCTCCCCAGTGACCAACGGGAATCATCACTCCCCGCCAACCCTGAACGCAGTGCCGTCTCCACCGCAGCGATACAGCAACGGGCCGTCCTCCTCCTCTTCCTCGTCGCTGGCAAACCAACAGCTGCCGGCCACCTGTGGGGCTCGCCAGCTGAGCAAGCTGAAACGTTTCCTGACCACGCTGCAGCAGTTTGGCAACGACATCTCTCCTGAGATTGGAGACAACGTCAGAAGCCTCGTTCTGGCCCTTGTGGTAAAGTCCTTTGATGTTCGAAAATGGGGGAGAAAAAAGCACTGCTATGCTTAAAATGATTTAAAACTTTAACTTTTTTCCTCTAGAATTCAACAGTTACTATCGAGGAATTTCACTCACGGCTTCAGGAGGCCACCAACTTCCCCTTACGGCCATTTGTCATTCCGTTTCTCAAGGTAAACATGTCCTCCTTTTTTTCTCTTTTTTAACTTTATTTTAGGATGACCTGATGGATCTATGGACAGATACAATACAGCTTGAGTACAGAGTCATCTTAGAAAATTGAATAACCACCCCATGTTGTCCAAAACAATCCATAAACTTTTTAATAGTCCCCCTCTCCCTTGGTTATACTGATGACCTCTGCCATCAGTAACTATGTTACTGATTTCTTATCAGCAAATTAAAGTTCCAATCGAGCGTTGTTGTCTTGACTTGACGGACTGCAGATGGGCGTGTGTTAAACAGCCTCGTGAGGCCCTTTGTAACCAGGGGAGTCTGCAACAGTATACTTTTTAGGAGCTCCCCTCAGTAAAGCAGCCCATAAATCTTCAGGCACTCAAATTCTCTTTTTCCACTCTTACCTCTTACTTACCTTTGGAGCCCCTCCATCTGTCTGTCTGAGGCTGAGACAAGAATCCTCTGTTCACCTCTGCTAATTTATTACAAAGGGTGTGCGCTCCCCACTACTTAATTCCGACTTGTTGAGAGTCGGATCGAGATGGGACAGACGGGGCAAATTCTGCGAGGAAGTGGAAAACAGAAAAAAGTCGGGGAGAGTGGGAGAGAAGGAAAAGTGGGAACTGGGAAGTGTGAAACATGCCTATAAAGTATTCCCTTCTCTTTTTATGGTCTTCAGTACGCCATATGGAGCCGCTGTCCCTTTTTTTTTTTTTTTTTTAAAGTGCATTCAGCTGCCAAGGCGCCGCCAATCTAGCATCCGCCCGACTGAACCCCAGAGAGCCCTGTGCTTAACTGACACCCACCACATGTGTCCGCGAGCTGGGGCCCCGGGGAAAGAAGGGACCCAGAGGAGCATGAGGGGTGTGCAGGGCTGTTGTAGACAGTAAACCAGAACGGAGGAGTATCAGCATCTTCTGGGAGCGTATGGACCAGATGCTGTCAGCCTAAACCATCAAAGCTTTAAAATAATCCTCGCAGTTTTGAAAAAAAAATAAAATTCTTAGAAGTGCTCTGAAACTAAAAAGGGGTACGGTGCTTTTACTAGTTGCTCAAGAAGAGGGAGCAGAGGGAGTGAGGAAGTGGTGTAATTGCAAACACACTTGAGCCTGTTCCTAATTAGGGAAAGGCAGAACAAAAGCAAGAAGGGAAAATTTTGACTGTCAGAAACAGATATATACGCTTAGAAAATGGAGAGGGAGAAAACGAGGAAAGAAAAGAGAGGCCGAGTTTGTGTATCATTTGTTTTCGAATGTTTCCAAGCCTCGGTATCGTCGTGCATACCTTTGCTGTGAGCAGCACTCTCGTGCTGTGTGGGAGGTTGGAAACCAACATCAGGGGGCAGCTCTGTCATTTTCATTTGAATTAGGGAAAGCCGCAGCCAGCGTGGAGGCGGCCACAGAACACCACCCAGACCCAGTTCCAGCTTTACAGCCAGACCTCAGGGAGACGAGTTTAAAACCACCTTCTATTCCCTTCAGGGGACAGATCTGCTGTGTTGCAGAGTGTTAGAGGAGTCTTTTGGTCGGCGGACCTGTTTGCATATCAGATGTCAATATCACAAATATTGTTTTTTTTTTATCCTTCTTAGGCAAACCTTCCCCTGCTGCAGAGGGAGCTGCTCCACTGTGCACGGGCAGCCAAGCAGACCCCTGCTCAGTACCTGTCCCAGCACGAGCACCTCCTGCTGAGCACCACTCTGGCCTCCTCCCCAGACTCCTCAGAGCTGCTGATGGAGCCTCCGGAGACCGGGACCAAGAGACACAGCCCCAGCAGGTTGGCTTTCAGAAACAAGAAACCAGAAAAAACATCACCAACAAGACACGCAACATAAACATAAACCGCTTTTTTTCTTCTGTTCAGGGTAAAAGAGAACGGTTTCCACGAGCGCCCGCCGGCAGCCATGGAGCCGGCGGCCAAACGGGTGTGCACCATCAGCCCGGCTCCCCGGCACAGCCCCGCACACCCGCTGCCTCTCTCCGCCCAGCTCCACCTGACCCCCCCGCCCCTGCAGCACTACGCCCTGGACGACATAGCCGCGCCGCACATTTTGCAGCGGGAGCACAGCCAGCGCGTGCTGGAGATCCGCGAGCTCAAGGACCGGCCCAGAATCCCAGGTACGCGCCGTGGTTCACAACCCCACAATAATGTTAATGCAAGTAGCAAAAGATGGAGAAAAAAAATGAAAAAAACTACTTGCAAAATGAGACCGGACTGGCATACATAATATGATCTACAATAATGGGTGGTCTCTGTTTGGGAACCCAGATACCAAGTATCTCTGGAGTTCAGTGTCTGTGAATAAACAGAGCCCTACTGTCCAGGCAGTGAGGGGTTGGTTGGTTCTTCTCTGGTGTATGTCTGCCCTCCATTTGGGGCTTGTCAGCAGTCAGTGGAAACAGCAGTAGCTCACAGAGTCAGGCACACACACACACACACGCGCGCTCACACACACACCTTGATGTGTTCATGGTAGAGGTGCTGTGTTTACAAGGCCTTAGTCCCTTGTCTAACAGCCTCCCGCCCGCCTGCCGCCACTTAACTCGCACACACCCACACCCACACACACACACAGGCATAAACACATCACTCCGCACACTCATTGCTTTGAACTGATGAACGCTGATGAGAAGCAGAAGTTGGGAAGATGTTTAGATGGGAGGTTTGTGTGTCTGTGTGCGCGTGATCCCTTTTCGTTTGCCGTTTCCTACCTAGAATGAAGACATTGGGGTTTTCATCTCGGCATTTAAGCAGTTTGTGTGCGTTATATCAGTCCCTATGTTTGTGGACGTGGATTAAAATGTTTTGGGCCCCTGCTGGAGCACTACCCCCCGCGAGCAAACTATTATTTCTGGTCAGTGTATGACTGCATGTTGCGTAAGTCGTGCGGTGATTGGAATCAGATAGCTGTTCGAATGTGTGTTGTAATGGTACGCAGTACGAGTGTCAGACCGGCTGGTTGTGTTTAGAAGTGGAGCCACTCCACTCAGCCTGAGTGTCTCCCTACTGGAATGCTGGGAGCTCCAGGAGGGGAGGTGCTAAGAGAGACGTTTGGGGAGTGTGCGTCTGTTTGTGTGTGTGTGTGTGGCTGACAGCTGACTTCCAGATGTGTACAGGCTCTGGATGCTGAGAGTCTGTTTTGCATCACCGGTTTCTGCTTTTCTTTTTCACTCCACCTTTTCTGCTCACTGTCCCCAAGTCCACGGCGCTTCTTTGTTTCTTATTTTCACACCGCAGCGTTCCCATCTCTCGTCGTTTTGAGTGTTTAAAGCAGTAGCCATTTGATATCCTTTTTCTCTTTTTTCTTTTTTTTTTTAAAGCTATTTTCCTATGTGTGGAAAGATCACTAAGTCATCTTGTTCAATGATCTATAAAGTCTTAATAATTCAGATTTAACACAAACATCTTTCACTCACTTACTGTCACTTTAGGCTTGGGAATGTTAATCACCTTGGCCTGTGGTCTGTCCTGTGCATGTTTTAATCAGGCACTAACGGGGGCTACCGCGAGGAGCCGGTGGACCACAGGCTGACAGACAGAGAGTGGGCTGATGAATGGAGGCATCTGGACCATGTAAGTCTGCAGACAGGCACCACTGGTGCTAATGGTTTGTGATATAGAAGGAATGTCATTTGTTTTACTGGGATCTCGAGCCGAAGTATTTGAGCTTTTCACAGCCTCAAAGTCATGTTTGAATGGTACTGTTTCTTAATAAGACGTGAAAGTTTGAGCGGTAATTTATCGATTTGATATATCTGATTGCTGCCTAGGCTGGTTACGATATTAACAAATTAGAATATCTTTTGAGTGGACAATTTGGATGTGCTGTTAACGAATAAAAGGCTGCACCATCATTTACAACGTCACTCATAATTAAATTATGGATGCAACAATTCAACAGTGCAGGTGTTTCTATAGTAGCAACCTATAGTAGAGCATTAGTTGTTCATCTATATTACAACGTCCTTACTATCCTTAGGGAACAAGCAGTCATTTCCTTTTGTTTTCATTAAAACATTTGTTTAGAGGAAATGAGATTTTAGATTCTGTTAGATATGATGCAGGGGCCTGCTGTACTACGTGACTGAAAGAAAACTTGGTTTTGTAAGATGCCGTGTGTTTTCTTTGCCTTGTAGGTGTTAAACTGCATCGTTGACATGGTGGAAAAGACACGGAGGTCAGTGAGTGTGCTCAGACGATGCCAGGAGTCAGATCGCGAGGAGCTCAACTATTGGAGACGCCGAACGAGCGAGCAGGAGGACCCACGCAAAGGAGGCTCAGGCTCCACTCCATTTTCCAAGCCACACAGCCCCCACTCCGAGTCGGGTAAGAACCCCCAAATTGAGTCTAAGTCTGCTGGAAAAAGACACTAGCTGTATGTTTCGCTGTCTTTCTATGATTGCTGCCTGTTTTCCAAATGATGGCTTCACTGAGTTTGAAATTAAGCCAAAATGGCTCAAAGCAGCCTGTCTGTCCTGTTAGCATGAGTGTAGCTTTAATAAAACTACCATGAAAGTAACTCCAGTGAACTGATTTTTGTTTGTGTGCCCCCTGTTTCGAGCACTGGGTTCTACTCTGACCATAACTAGTTTATTCATCCTCAGAAGGGATATTTCAGTGAACGATACTTTAGCAAAGAATTGGATCTTACAAACATTACAGATTAGCAGAATTTGGCTTTCAAAGCATAGACAGAGGGTGGGAAAAGCTGGGTCAGGGACTCCTAACTATCCACCCAAATGTCAGCTGTGTTCTGAACAGTAGGTTATAATGATTGTGGGCATCATGGGATGAACAGGGAAGATAAACTCAAACCAGGAGAGACTCCTGTCTGCTCTCACACGCGTTACGCCCCCCCCTAGCGGTCACTTTGCAGGACTGCAGCCGTGAGTCACATGTCAGCGAGCTCTTCCAGTTAGTCCCCCCCCCCAGTCTGCTGTGTACTGGCAGTGTTCTCTCTGTGTGCCAGCCTTGCCGTCCCCCTGCTGCTCCACACTCGCGGACAGGTGCCAGGACTGGCCTTGGCCATATCGGCCACAGAAGGGCCGTCCTGCCGTCCTGCCGTCTCAGAGACCCAGAGCTGGCGCACTCGCCAGAGCGCCATCTGGGCCCCCAGCCGGAAAGCCAGCCTGCTTGCCTGGGACTGGGGGCCGTGGTAGTGGGGGTGTATGATGGCTCGTTGGAAGAGAGGCCATGTTAACGGAGGGGGAAGAGAGGAAGCACGAGAAAAAATGGGGAAAGGGGAAGCAGAGCCCAGGAGTGACAGAGACGAGAGTTTAGATGCAGGGAAAGAGGTTTTAAAGGAACCGTCGGGGTATTGACACAGCTTGTTTGGCCGGCGGTTCTCTCCAAACCAAACACATTCCTGTCTGAAGCTTTCAGATGAGTCCAAGACTCTCGACAACCAATGATTACACAGGTGTGCATCAGTAACAGCAGAAACTAGTAGATGATAAAGATACTGTTATTTATTAGTCATATTCAGACTTATATATGTGTGCATGTATTTGGAAAAGTCCCGGAAAGTGCTCATCCCTCCTGTTCCTCCCTTTCCCACAGACTCCCAGCGTGACTTTGTTCCGCGGCCAGGCTCGGCATATGTTACAGATGAGATCTGGAGGAAAGCTGGTGAGAACGCTGTCAAATCATTTCTAAGGTTTTCTTCGGAAACCGCAGCGAGGACTTTGACGTTTTATGTTCTCGACGAGCGCCGTCGACCGTGGGCGCACGGGATGAGCAAAACTCACTCATCACTCGTTTCCTTTCATGCACAGAGGAGGCAGTTAACGAAGTCAAGCGTCAGGCCATGGACGAGGTTCAGAAAGCAGTGGCAGAGGCCGAACAGAAGGCGTTTGAGATGATTGCTGCCGAAAGGGCTAAGATGGAAAAGACTCTGGCTGAGGCAAAGCGGAAAGCTCAAGAGGATGCCATCCTGGTCATCAATGAACAGGAGGACTCCAGTGAGGTGAGCACGAGTAGAAATTTGACAACAATTCAATGATTAGGTAGGCCTGCGGGACAGACATGCCAAGTATTTTCAAATACTTGGCGTGCAGAGTCAAAGCTGGCCCTGGTCTGTGATATACAATGTGTTTACAGAGGTCACTTAGCATCAAGCAGCCAGATTCTTCAGTCAGATTCTTTATTCGGGATTTAATAAAGAAAATATATGGGACTAATCAGGTGGCAGGAAAGATGACTCCGCATGAATGACAAAGATTTTTCAAAGCTGGTAGCTTATGACAAAGCCTTTTTTTATTAATTTAGGGTAGATCTGTTCCAAGACAGCCGATTGCAGTTAGCTCCTTCAGCTTCGATGTTCACTCTGGGTTAAGCACACAAGTTGGGTTTGAGGAAAAAGCTAGAATCAGAGGGTCTCCAGTCCTGTGATTCTCTAAAGTAGGTAAATAAAGAGCTGAACGTCTGTTATTAAAGGCAAACAGGCAGTTTGATTAAACATAAGATAAAGACAAATAAGATACAAAGAATCTTTTGTGTTGACATTTATTATGTACCTGACTTCTGCAATGAAACCAGAATAGGCTGTGTAGTTTTAAATATTTTTTCAGCCTATTCATGGATGTGAAAGATGAACTGAGGATTCATACGGCGGTGTGTGAAACCCAGATAAAAAATGTAAACATTTCCTTTTTCCACCTTCCTCAGTGTTGCTGGAATTGCGGGCGTAAAGCGAGCGAGACGTGCAGCGGCTGCAACGCCGCCCGCTACTGCGGCTCCTTCTGTCAGCACAAAGACTGGGAAAGACATCATCTGATCTGCAGCCCAGGACTTCAGGCTCAGCCCAAACCTGTCTCGACCATCACTGCCGGCAGGGCGGTTTCTGCGGCCACTGCAGCGGCAGCAGCTGGAATGTCTCCCGTCAGTCTGGCCGGGGTCAAAGCTCCCGACAGCGGGCCTTCAGTGTCCAGTCCAAAAGGAGAGAAGGCGTCAGTCGCCTCTCGCTCCTCCACTCCCTCCACCCCGGCCTCGGCCCCCGAGACCAACGGACACTAGGAGGTTGAAGGATTATAGGGGTTAACGAGTCACTAATCCTCTTTGCTTATGGGGAAGAGTTGAATCAACAGCATGAGGAAACTATTTGTGGGTTAAGTTAGGATAACAGATTTTTTCATCATACTCTTTGGCAGATAAAGAAGGACAGATTATGGATGACTGTTTTGAGTGATATGTCAACTGGGACTTTGGCTTTGGCAAAGAACAAAGGGACTCGTCTCGTATGCATTCATTGGATGAACAGATCTCCCTAACAGATGGAAATGTCCCTCTCGTCGTCCAAAACCTCGAATCTTGGATCTGTGATGACTGGGGGGAGAAAAAAAAGAACAGATGATTGATCTCAGTTTATCTGTGACAGCAGGGAGGAAGTTGTGAAAGGAAGGCATATAACCCGCTCACACTCCATCCCCAGTTTACAAACTAATATCCTTACTTTGTTGTGAATATATGAAAAGCAGGGAATTGGTTTTGATAAATGTAAAAAAGTGTAATAGAACCATGCCCACAGCATCCGTCTTTGTAATTTAGAAGACTCTGACACTAGACCACGTAAACGGTCATCTCTGGAACTCATCTGGACTCAGAACATTTGCTCTCCAACATCTTGTCAGATTTCCATAGGTATGAACCCGTCAAACGTCATGCCGTCTGTGACTATAGTAAAGCATATGATTATTTTTTATCAAAGCAATATTGAAATAAAGTGTTCAGGTATTTCAAGTTGTTTTTCTGCACCACCAAAGTTTTCAGTTGCTGAAGAGTCCGTTGGCAGGAATATACCAAGCCGCTAACCCCTCTGACGAAGGGCTTAACTGGTCATTTCTGATCTGCGAGAAGTGATGGTGGTTGTGTCACGCAAGCACAGGACTTTTTGTTATTTTTTCCTTTAAAAATCAAATTCTGGTTGCAGTATCACCCGGGCCCTTGTTTACATCAGCAGCTACGTGGCAGCTCTTCTACCACTGCAGTGTGTGCATCAGAGGACGAGAGTGTCAAAGCCCAAAACCATTTTTAACGCATGACTGACTATCCACACATCGCAGTGGTTCAGGTCCAGAACAGCCACTTTGTCCTTCGGAGAATCTCAGGAGCTAAACTGTTTGTATGTACAGATCACTCTTTTTCTTTTGGGTGCCGTTAGGTTAAAGTTTAGTGGGGAGCTTTGATTTATTGTACTTCGCTGTTGCAATTGAGATACCCTCTTTTTTTTTCTTTTCTTTTTTGCTGTAAAATTACTTGTAAAGATTATGAGAGATTTCCTTTATTTTGTGAGCCACAGTTTTCCCCTTCATTCTTTGAATATGTTCTTTTGTTATGAGGCTTGGAACACATCTTGACATAAACCATGGAATAAAAGAAGTAGACTTATTCAATAAGGTGTTCCTCTGGTCTGTGCATTTCCTTTTAATACCTTGGAATTTTGAAAAAAAGAAGAAAAAAACAGCCGGTTCCCCAAAGACAGCCAACTTTGACTTGGGAACAACATGCAAACTCTCCCTTGCTGTGAGACAACTGTTAACCACGACCCCTACATGCAGCAACAACAAGGAGGTCCTGCAACAAATTAAAGGGACGTTTCTTCTTTAATTATTTTTAAGTAGGGGATTTATGAAGTGTTTTACAGTGGTTGGTGTCTGTTCTCAAGCATCGGATAGTCAGTGAGTTCTTTCCATGTAGAATCAGAGGCTTTTCTGATGGGTGAACTGAAGCTAAGCACATTTTTCACCATTAAAAACCTATGAAAGATTTTACAAGTTTGAGTAAGAACTATACTGGGACTATTAACACTGAATCTCTTCTGCAGCAGTCAGTTCTTGACTGCCTAAGTAGCCACACTTTAAACAGCGGATTAAAAAAAAGTCCAGTTTAAAACCTCCTGAGATGATATGAACCCCGATATAGTGACCCTTGTGTGTAATCCGTACATTTCCACTAAATGGGGTTGGCACTAACCACTTGTGGGCTCCACTTTGGTGTGGAGGAGAGCATGATGGAAACATTTATGATAGATAATATTCCAGACTTTTTCTTTGTGTGTTTGTTTTTTATACCAAACAAGAGTTTTGACAAAGTTGAGAACGTTGGCTATGAATGACATATGTCCTTTGCATTATGAAAGCAGGATTCCTACTGCACAAATGTAATGAAACGCATTTCAAATTTTTACGAAGTGATTTCAATTATACCAGTAGCATTGCACCTGGAAATTTTGGGCTTGAAATTCTTCTTAGGTCTTGGAATTTCACATCCCCCTAATGCTATGAATCATTCATAAAAGAGACTCCTTTCAGTTGAAATATATAGAGGATGCGGGCTCATAGGCTGCTGGTGAGTTGAAATCTCTGATGCGGGTGCAGATGAAGCAATGCATAATGCATACAGTCCCCCACGACGGCTTTTAATTGGATTTATGTCAGAATACAATGAAGACCTTTACCGGAGATAACACCGTTTGTGGGGGTGCATCATCTCAACAGTCATTTAAAACACTGGGACGTTTTACATAAAAGGAAAGGCCAACAGACTGCAGAGACTTGTACCATCTATTTCCACAAGATGGCACTACAAGGTAATTGTTGAGAAGTGAGGCTCTGCAAGACTGCAGCAAACCTTTCTACATAAATATACTTTTAGAGATAAAGCCAGCCTAGTGTAACAAAAAACAGGAAATTCTTTAGTACCAAGCCACAAGTGAAAATATAGTAAATCCTTAAACTAATTCATTCATATTCATTAAATATATATATATATATATATATATGATATGATACATTTTCTCATTAAATGCTCATTAAATGATTTCGTAGGATTACACACAGGTGTCTAATAACAATAAACAGGTGCAAATGATCATCAGATCTGGATGTGGGTTTAAATGCAGTTGAAACAGAAATACCCTGAGACCAAAAAAGCCATGTCGAAGAGTGAAAAGCCTAAGTCAGCTGCCTAGGTGAGATAGTGCGATGTGGTGTTGGGCACCCTGGCAAGACTGAGCACAGCACAAAGGCAAAAGACCAGGACATTTCAGTGTATCAGCAAGGTCGCTCCGAAACAAAGATTTCAAAGCAATCTGGGGTGTCAGTGTTCTGTTTGAGTTTTTTTTTTTTTGTAGAATCACAAAGAAAAGGAGAACGTGGGGGACTGCTGGTTTGGACAGCCAACTCAGTGCAGCAAATGGAAAAAAACACACACACTCACCAAGCTTATTTCCCACTGATAAAGGAGGATTTCTAACAATGCCATCAGTTCAAAACAGACTAAAAGCAGCGGTGTCCAGGTAAAACCATCTACTGTCTGCCAAAGTCAGGCCAGTAAAGGTCTTCAGTGGAGAGTTCCAGCTGAGGGGCAACATATAACCTGGCCTACAGAAAGAGTCCTGGTAGTGTTTATATGATACCCATAGACCCTCAACGTCAACGATGAGCCTGTCCGTCAGGTATGGCTTGGCATTTTCTTATCTCACGAACGCTTCTGGACCAACTGAACACAATTCTGTCAGAAGACATTTCTAATTTTATTGTTTGATGATGATGGTGGAAAGCTCTGTCGTACACTTTGGTTCAAATCCTCCCGAAGATTTTCAGGGGTTAATTGTACAGAGCATTCAGGGTTGTCAATCATAACTGTTTTTCATTTGAGGATGTAAGCATTTACCCAACCCCAGTATTTATTTAAACTATGCCCTGATACACTGATAGATGCTGTTCTTTCATGTGTTAACAGTACTGTTTGTAGACGGGTAAATGAACTTAGTTCAAGATGACAATTTCATTCCTGCGTATTTGGCTTTTAATCATGACTCGTCAGTTTTGTAGATGTAAATGATCTGAATCCAAATCAGAAAAACGTTATTAATCCCTTTTGAGAAATTCAGGAAACAGTCTGCATAATAATGGGACTGACGAGTTTTTGCTGATGTTGCAGAGTGGACTCAGGTAGCTATGGCCCCAGATGTCTATTCAAATAGCCTTTTTCATTTGTTTGCTTGGCTGTGAATAGGTTTTTTTTATTTTTATCACATAAAATTCCAGCCTTTTGTGTGGGTTAAGTGCTGTATTGATGCAGAGTTTGTGCCCTTTTGAAATGACCTATGCTTTGTTTCCTCCACCTCCAGCGTGATTCTGGAAGTTAATTTTAAATTCTGAGTTCTTGTGCCAAAAACCTGCTTAAAGAAAGGTGGGATCAGCAGACACTGACAGTTGTGTTTGTGTGCATGTGTCGGTCTGTGTTTTCTGGCACCAAATTCGCACCAAGTTCACCTCTGCTTGTTTCTTGGCAAACCTTCTATAGCGCAATATGATGTGTGTAATGATGTGCCTGATATTGTCCTGGCATCTTGCTTGAGGGAGAGCCGTTGAAGTCGATGCAGAATCTGTCCTTGGTTTCAAGGCTTCTTGTGAGGATATGAAAATGGTGATACTAAAAAGAAACTCCTTACTCCTGCTTCTCCTGAATCCCAATGTCATCATCTCACTCCATTATCTTCATTTTCTGTCAAACCACAAGAGTAACAACTTTAACGTCCAATGTTCTTAAGCTTTCTAGGTCTGCCTTGCAAATTAGCTGCATGGTTTGTTATGTGCAATCGTGTAATTGAATCTATTATGAGTCATCAGTCACCTACGCAGTGGAGCAACTTGTGATGTTTCAAATAACGATCTTTAAAGATACAGAGCATCAAAACGTAAAATAGTAAAAAGTCTCATATGGAATAATCATGTAAACAAAGAAAAAAACATATATATATATAAAACACAGCGTGTTTGTCGAAGGTTTTTCTCTGTTTATAAGTTGTACCAAAGACTTATATATCCTATTTGAATGGATTGAATTAAATCAATCTGTTGCATATCGCATCTTATTTGGGTCCTCTTAAAATTAACTAGTGGTTTTGCCGCTGAGTTTTTCAGCTCTAAAAATGTGTAAAGTATGAGGGCTTAGAAAACAATACTTGCAGGATAGCCAGTTATTCTGATAGCAATGTATCAAAACATGCCAGAATGAGTCTCTGAGCCAACAAGGACAAGTGACTCAGTATTCAAGAGGCAAAGAACCCCCACACAAAGTCACCTCCCACACAATCAAGACTCGGCTTGAAAAAAATTGCAGATATAGAAAAAAAAGAAACATTTGAAATAGGAAAACAGCTGCTGCTTGGTCACCTTTGGCCCTTACCCAAGGATATCGGTGAGGGGTAGTTTGCGATGTTCATGTCAGAAGTAGAGAAAGTCGTTATTGTGACTCACTCTCTCTGCAAAGTAAACTGGTAACAATGCATATGAATTATGCATTCTCCGTGACCATGTGCTATGGGGGATAAACAGCAAGAATGACCAGTAAAAGCTCATCCGTTTGCACTGACACATCTTTCAATTTTTCCTGCCATTATTCGCAGTCCGAAGTTTGAACGCAATGCGGAGACTCACACTTTGACTTTGGGTGTCTTTACTGTGTTACCATCTTTAGAAGACAGTCACCAAGGTTGGAGGAATGGTAATGGTGAAGAGCGAGGCTGCACAACAGATGTCTCCCGGTCACCTTCGCCCGGGTTCCTACCTCTCTGAAGTGATGTCCTTTGTCTCCACGCACATCAGATCCAAGGAGACCTGCCTGAAAGAGAATTAAACGTGTCTCTTTTCTTTCCTCTGCTCTTTGATGTTCCATTTGACACAAACAAAACGTGTCTGCCATTCTGGAAATATAAGAATCTGATGAAAAAATACAGAGTATGTGTTAAAGGCGTCATTTTGTAACTTTGGTATTCAAAAACCTTCACCACCAGGGGGCAGAGTTTTATCAGAATGATTCCATTGTATTAAATATTGTTGAGTCATTTGCAAGTTCCTCTCCTTAATTAATTTTAAAAAGAGTATTATGAAAATATACAGTATATTGTAGCTGGCTAATTGGGCAAGAATAGATGGTAAATCAGATTTAGGCATTATCTTGCTGTCAATCAGCAAGACTGCACAATGGAAGTTAGGCAAAGGTTGGTAACCGGGGTAGGCATCTTGTTTGTTGAGGTCTTCTTCACTCATAAATGAGCACATTCAAAGTTTTTATTAGGGCCCACTGCAATGGTGTCAGTGCACCATGAATCATCAAAGGATGTTTTTCTAGGCCAGTAAAGCTCTGGCTGCTGGACCTTTTTATCGAGGCACTGTGAAAAGTTTCAGCAAAGCAGTCTACAGTGTTATTGGGCGTCCATTTGTATCCCCCTTTTCTAAACTAAACCTTTTCTGAAGTTCCTTTAATGCAAAATGAAGAATTACAGCAGAAAATGAAATAGAAAATCAGGAAAAAAAGAATGATAAAAAAAAGAAAAACATGAAAAACAGCTTGTTTTCAAGGTTAGACTCTGGTGTGTGCTTCAGAGTCCAACTTTCATTCAAATCTTAGAGTTGAACTTTTTCTTTTTTAAACCTTGCTATTTTATTCAACCCCTGTTGGATAACTCAGCACTTCGGGGTGCTGTTTTCTTGACGTTTCCCATTGGTGCTGTCAGTGTGCACCACAGAAAGAATTGCTGACAATGTGCGGCTGTGCAGCAGCTCTCACAATGTGATGATGAAGGGAGATTCAGTGTGTTGAAAAATGACGCTGTAACTTTTCGACCAAAACAAAATGAGAATGAGAATGTGTTGCCCCATAACATCTACGTGATTGTGTTGGGATATGTAAAAAAGCATTTTTACATACAGTATGTAAATGTGAAGTCGGTTGTCAGTCTCAGTGTCAGTCTGATCTTGTGAGTTTGGATGAAAAACCACAAGAAGATATCATACTTTTCTTAGGGAATAGATATGTTAAAGAATTTCCTTGATGAACACCATTGAGGGATGATTTTGCTAGGTTCAGGGACTATGAATGCTGATGAGAAAGTGTTAGAATTGGTCTGTACTTAGACCAAAAATGCTGTTAAAATACATTTCTATCACACATAAAAAACAGTATGATTGGAAATTTGCTTCAGAGGAAGATGGCTGGATTATGCCTCTCTGAGCTGCGTGTGTAATGTAGCATTACTCTGCAAATCAAATGTTTTCAGAGATATGAGCTTCCAAACAGAAATGCACATCAGAATTTTTTAGATTGTATTCCCTACAATTACCCTGAAAATGATTATTTGATATGATTATAATCTTGCCAATGAAATCGAAGTATTTAACTGAAACATTTTTGATAAAACCAACATGTGACTTACAAAAAAACATATATTTTAAAGATGATCTTTTGGGTAGTCATGAGTGATTATGAATCTAGTGGTGACTCCTGGCCTTCAGCATTTAGTCAAAGTGGAGACAACTAGAACAGCGTGGGTGCACATCCTCTACGTATTCATTCTGTCTCACAGGACAGATGAGGGTTTCCATTTGCCTGAATCAACAATGCCATCAAACGTTACAGCCCCAGCAGTCAGCCGAGTAATTTGCCAACCTCTCTCTTGTGCACATCTGTGTGCAATTCTACGTTTGGCAGAAATACATTTAGACAAAATAAACAATTATGCATTTCCATAAAAACATTCTTGCTGCAAGGTGGGATATTTACTTTAGTATTCAGAGGCTGTCCCGTTTTCATTGTTGAGAAAATTATGGCTCACATAGTCTATTCTATTGAGCCCACTCTGTGAAAATAGCTCGGGAAAAAATAGATTGGGCATATGTGGAAACCCAATTCCTTCAGCATGCACACTGCCACATTAAGGGTGCAGTTTTTTGCTCAGCCATGAACAAGGCTTGTCTGGTGATATGCGTCATGGTATGGTGCCTCCCACATCTTTGCTGGATGAATGTAGATTTTTCCTTTAGACGTTTCTCTTAAAAAAAATTTGACCGTAGCTTCCTTTCTCTAACTGTGATCATTTACGTGGAACAAAGTGACAATGTCTCAAGCTATCATGGATAAGCCTGTAATTGGACTGAATAATATTGAATCTTACTCTCACAGTTGGATATCACGGTTAAGCAGGTGTCCAGTTCAGCTCAGAAAAATGGAAACTAATTCAAGAGATGCTTTCATTTCAAAGCACTGAGGGGGATATTCGGTTCTCAGAATGGTGACTGCTAAAATTAATGACAACTGAAACGAGATATTTCTGTTCGTGAGCTAGATTTAACTTAGTTTGGTCTTAAATGGCAAAAGACATTAATCTTGAACGAATTTTAGACGAGGTAAATCTGGTTTCAACTATAAGAGACTAGAATGAATGAAGAAAAAGCTCAGTATTCGCTCAGTATTTTCGTGGTTGACTCAAATATATTTATATATACAATGAGTTTATGATCTTTTCAAGCTGGCAAACCAGTCTTTAAAAAAAAAGCCATATTTGTCAGCAAAACTTCTGCAACCAGATGAAAAATCCTTCGGAAGCTTTTTCTTCAATATACCACAGCTCCCAAAGTTCTCAAAGGCATCAATGTTTCATCAAAGAATGGGCAGAACAATCTACCTTCACACATTGTAATCCTGTAACCCAAACTAACATTATCTGCTATAACTAAAAGTCCCTGAATGACAGAAACAGGCCCAATCCTTCCAATTTTTCACATCTTAAGGCGTTTTTCTATCAAACGAAAAGAAAAATACAACCGTCAAACAAGCCTCTTTGATAATTTTATTAAAGTTGCTTTTCACTCATCTGGTAGAACAAATTGGAAATCAAACACAACATAAATACATAAATATACAGTCTGTGAGTTCTATATGTACAGATGGAATAAACTCCAACATGATGAAAATAACTTAAATACATGTTTTGTTTTTTTCAATAGAGATGCATTTAAATCGCATTGAAGGAATAACTCTCTTACATTTGCATGTTTCAAAATATAATTCTACATCTGAGACACAGAGGGTGTCTCCCACCGACAACCGAGGTGGTGTAACTTACAACTGACCACTGGTAACAATAGATAGATGACATTGAAGGTGGAACCTTTTTTGGCATATTGTGCACATGACAGCAGGAGAGCTAAATGAAAGAAAACAGAGCTACAGTATCATACAGCATGTACAGCAGGGATGTGTCCACATCAACATGCATGTTCAGGATGCAGGAACCCTCTACCTCTCCATCCCATATTTCATTTGATCCATCTTCTATACCGCCTATTCCCAACGGGGTCGCGGGTGATTTTTCAACATAATTATTCTTATTCAACAGTAAACAGCTCATTATAAACACAAAGCGCTACCAGCATTATATTTTCAATCCAAAACGGGCTGCTCTAATAGCCTAAAATAGTGTGTTTTTTGGTCGGTTCTGTTTGGCTTAATATCAGACAGACGCTCGAAGAGAAAAAGGCAGCCGTACCACAAGTGAGAGACAAGGATTGGAAAGTTTACTGCAAAGAATCAGTTACATTGGAGTCTACAGGCAGGCTACAGGATGCAACTATGCCTTTGATATGAGCAGCACAATAACGACCAGCCGAAGAGCGAAACATCAGAGGATGCAGCTGGAGACTGTAGGATGACACTTCCCTCTCCCCCCTTTGCTTTTAAACGTGTGGACTCAAATTCTCCGTGTGCGTGCGTGTGTTTGTGTGTGCGCGTGTGCTTGTGCATGTTTGCGTGTGTCATCGTCTGCATGTTGGAGTGCGTGTTTTTAGGTGCGTTGTCTGTGTTATGGCGTAGGCAGTGGACGGGACATTCTGGATTCAGTCTTTAGTCATAATCCACCAAGAAGCTAAAGAAACAAGAGGGAGAAAAGAGAGGAAAAAAAGTTAAGTGAATCTCTCAATGTGACTAAAGCATTACATTTTAAAATGGTCAACTCTGTTTCCTTTTCCTTAATTTATAAACCATCCACCAAAGGAATCTCAGTAATTTAAATTGCCAGGGTGAGAGCAATAAAAAAAATGCAGGGTCATCGTTTTGTGACCACACAGTTCAAACCAACCACATCTTTAGATCGGGTGAGTTAATTCCACAGGCCATTCAAGTCCGCACTGAGTTAACCAAGATATTTCTCAACCTCATTTAGCAAAGTTTGGTAGACCTGGCTTGCTAAAGTCCAAAAAGATATGTGCCGACTTTCTCAAACTCATTTAGACTCTTCAGTGAAGCAGGTGTTAACCAAGTCTTTGTACTGCACTGAGGAAAGAAAGAAAGAATTCCCTGGCAACCTGAAAGATTTCCCTGGCAACCCGATAGCTCTGAAACAGCTCTTTTGCAAGAAAAAAACCCAATAAAAAATAGGACCTCATAGAGTAATACTACTCAAAGTGGTAAAACAACCCCACATATAATAACCGTCATTACTGCGACAGAAAACTGTCATCTCCAGGTAGATCATGGACACCTTGATTAAATATTGAGACAAGTACTAAAGAAATCCATTGAAACAAATCCTGGGAAGGAAATAAAAGAAATATCCAGAGCTTCCACACTGCTTTCACAAACCAGCCATATTCATACGTTTACACCCGGGTTTATTTCAAATTTATTTCTGAAACAATCAACGTGTATACATTGGAATCACAGATGTGGAAGAAAAGCGTGTATTGTAACCTAGCAACGGGCAGCCTCTGCAGCCACCACATCTTAATAAGCATCTGTAACAAACACAAAGAGGCATAAATGAAAATGACTGTTTTTCTAAGGAACAAGTAGTGGGACAGCTGGCTGCAACAAATTAATCAGATGTCAAGAAGAGAGCCATGACAGTGTCCGAGTGGCTGTGAATCATGTTACGCTGCCACGTGTTGTGAAGCCAGTGACGCAAGTGCAGATTATGTGTGTGTCGAGCAGACATCACTTTGCCAAATTTAAGATCTCTGTTCCATTTGCTTCCCTGCATGTCTGAATGTTTGTTTATTTTGCGTTAACCCTTTTTGAGTGAAAACAGCTTCGAGTATTTGAAGAGAGATCTATTCTTGGTTATCTATCTATTCAGAAAAAATGAGATATTTGCATTCCTTCGGGAAATGCCTGTTTTGAAAGAACCATCTTCCTTTAGGCACAAATTGATCACAGCCAGGAAGCAGTCTAAAATTACAGTTGCTGAGACTTGAGTGCACCTTTTCGAGCAAACCGAGTTAACGGTTGAATGTTTAAGAGCAATTCACTCAATCGATGATACTCAAACAAAGTTGTGCAGTTGTTCAGTCTGGCCTCTGTTGTCCCTGAAATTCATGTGTTTAATATTAAGAGTTCTATTTCCGTAACATAAGGGACAGGGGCATCTTTGATTATGCTGCTGTTCGTCACGACTCGTCTGCAACTTCCATCAGCGCACAACTGAGGCCAAAGGAGCCCAGGGACCAACAGAAGAACCAGCGACCCAATAAGTTAGGGCATCTGCACAACCAACTTTTTTTAACCATTTTTCCGCTGGTAATTTATACTGTTAAAACTTGTTAATGGAACTAAATAGAGAGATTAGGAACCAGGACATTTATTGAACTGGTTGCTTACAACTGCTGATATATTGCAACATTTGGCCTTTTGGTAATGCTTTCTAAGTCTACATCAAAAGCAAGTAATTAATAAAAAAAAAGCCCAATCTCATGTTTGTGAAAAACTATGTTCAGAGCATCCACATCATGTATCTGCAAAAACAGACTGAAAGTTTGGCTGTGCAGTTAGTTACGGACAAGTCGACTGATAATAGGCTCATTACTGAGTCACTTGGATATTTCAAAGCCAGGCTGTGTAATACAAATACTTGCGACCTCAATCTTCAGTTCAGATATCTACACAGGCTGTTTATTTCTGAAGAATTTCTTCAAAAGAGGGACGGCTGCACACGCAGCAGGAGAAGCAGATCTCTGTTCTCACAGTGGTAAAATGACCCCGCGAGCATCAGAAAATAGTCTGATCTCAGAAGCAATGACCACATTAGCAGAAAAACGAAGCAAAACTTGGTAGCTTCCTCAACATACTAGAGCTGCGGTTGTTATGCACAATCACTCTCGGGGCCAGAGATTGCACACCATTAATGAGATAAATTCAATGGTAGAGGAACTCTCTGATCAGAGGGTTTTGCTTTAGTTTATGTATGTCTACAAATGCACCAGCACACACACACAGACACAAACCTGGGAGCAACATAGTGGAAACTGCTTCAGTATCCTCCAACATGTCAATGATGCAGCGCTGGAAATCTTTGCAGTTGTTAGACTGAAGATAGCTACGGAGATAGACAGTCAGCAAACAAAACAGGGAAAAAGAGACATCTTAGAAAAAGAAAGAAAGGAGCACACCAGATCAGAAATTACATTAAAAGATTTCTGCTGATTATACCTAATCTTTATTTTGACTGATTTAATGTGTAGCCTGATACAAATAAAAGTGTTAAAGATCCAGTTGTCAACAAAACAACCTATATATAGGTGACCACCTATATCTTTAACATTATTTCATCTCTATGCAAAGAATATCAATACAGTCAACTGATCAGATGTCCCCCCTACTTTCACTGTGGCCTCCATGTGTGTCTTCATGTATGAGGGTGGCATGTGTGTGTAGCTTTATGTTTGTGTGTGTGTGTGTGAGCAGAGAGAGAGGCCATCTGCTCATCTTCACTGCTGGGGAACATTTCCATCAAGAAATTAAAGGTGCCAAATAGTCTGCCAATATCTAATGCATAACGACGCACGCACACACACACACACACACACACACAAACTGTACTGACCTCATCCAGGAGAGGCGGTCTTGCCAGAACTCATACATTATGTAACAGGACTTTCCGGAGAGCTTCTGAACAGACACACTGACAGCGAGACCAAGGCAACGAGTGGAGTGCAGCAAGAAGAAGAAACGACAGTGACAGTGAAAAAAAGCAGTCATCTCTTAGAGACGTATCACTGAAATAAAACCATGTTCTGGTTTAAAAAATTAAAAAGTGTAATACAGCCAACAGTCATATAAAAAAACACGTTTTCATCAAGCTGCCTACGAAAGCATATGAGTTGATACAACATCCCAACCTGACAATGCAGGTATTTTTTTACGCTTTTCGTCATTTTTAGCAGAGCTGAAGAATTTATCCCCCGATTCAGCATTGCTCCATGCAAAGCTGCTAAAGCGGCAGAACTGGAAACGATCTCTGTAAGATGCATTGCTTTCTCTGGAAACAAGCCACTCACTTCAGGTTGTCAGGGTGGGCTGAGGTGGCATCGATGTAGCTTTTCAGAACTTTCCGGAAGTTATCCAGATCCTCATCAACCACAGACATCTGCCTCTGAACCAGCAGGATGTTCTGTGGGCAACAAACACAGAAGACAGATGGAGGTGAGAGACGATAGCTATATTTCTTATGTACACAGGAATCCGAATCTAGTTTTGTGAGGACACATATGAATGTCAGAGACTAGGTTTAAGGACTTTGCAGGAAATTGTGTATAATTTGGCTGAATTCATGTTCTGAAATATTCAAAGTCAAGGTGGGTACAAAGGAAAGGCATCTAGTGGAGATGGTTAGAATTAAGATTTCAATCTTGCAAAAATCACAGTAAAAACAAACAGTTAAAAAAATTAGATAAATTAAAACCTTTTTTTTTAATCACTCAGAGATCTAGGAAATAGTTTTGATCTGTGGAATAATGTGTTCCCTAGTGTGTTTGTGTATCAATATTAACAGGTTTTATAAAAAATAAATGGCTATTATTTTTCTCACTTTCCTGTAGCTTACACAGTTTTGTTTGCCAATGTAAGAACCTTAGCCTGGCAGAGAAACTGAGGAAAATTGAATAACTAATTATCAACATCTCAGCAAAATGGTATATTGGGATACTGGCACAAGAAAGACGCTATTATAATCATGTTACAGCATGATTTATTTGATGACTTAAATAGTAGTTTGTCACTTTCTAATTATAACACATACTGACAAACACTGATTCTAAAACGGGATCCTAGAGTACAGTGAAAGGTTGCCACAACATGGACACTTCCAAACCCTTTCTTTCAGATCAATCCACGTTAGTAAAACAAGCTTCCCTTTGTCTGTTAACAGCCATATCCCTCGTGACAAAAGCTGCCTATGAATGACACCTGTTCAAAGGCCTCAAATGCACACTCAATCAAAAACACAAGATATCTTTGAAACACCTATAAACAGTGTCCTGTGAATTTTACAGTAAATGAAGGACTAAATTGCTGGCAAAAGTTGTGATTCCAGTCCCTGTCTTAAGCACCTGAAGGGCAACTGTAAGTTCCCCACCAATAAGGATAAAATACATGTTCTACAGGGACAGACAGCTGTTCAAAAAAGGACTATACATCCGATTTTAGTATATTTTTTGGCACATTTTGTAATCTGTGGAGAAGTAGACCTGCTATTGTTCCTCTAAGGTTGTCATGACTAAAATCTAATCCTTATCCAAAATGCAGACCAAACGCAGTATGTATGCACACATTTTCCATCAGAAGAAAGTCTTCAATTCCTCCATTTTCCCATTAAATGAACGGGGGATGCTAAAGACATCACGTCAACGGCTTATCCAGGATATTGTCCTGTTAAAAGCTCTTACTCAGTAAATTTAACATGATATATACAAAGTTCTCACTATGAAGCCTTTAAAAAAACATAAGTCGCAAATAAGTAATTCATCACTAATGCATCTTAAACCTTCGATTGATTATCATCTTCTACAGTATATAAAATAATCTAAAATGTCTCAAATCTGAAGTCCTTTTCTGAAAAATTAAAAGGACTTAGGATAAATACTGCCTCTTAAATAATGCACCCGTCATTTGCTCTGGAAGTATACCAGGTAAAAATCAGTGGCAACTTACAGATTTGTACGTGCTGGCTAGTGTGTCCTCCTTGACTGGTTCCAACTTGGGACCCTGAAACAGGACGTTTAAACATATGAATAGCATTCATGCATGTGGACTGAGCATACAACTGAACAAATCTAAGAAGAATGATGACAAAAGGAAAAACGGACCATTCCGTGCAGCATTTTTTCGCAGCCGCGAAGTATTTACATTCTCTGACTTATTCATTATATTCTCTGGGTCCTGCCAACATAAACGTCTTTCCCTTTTGATCCTCTGCGTTTGATCTGATCGTTATGCGTGTGCGTGTAGTTTTTTTTTAGGTTTAATTTTCAAGAGCTGCTGAAGACAGCTTCCCAATAGGGAAATAAAGGTTACTTCAACTCATCCAAAAAGGCCAATGTATTTCTCACTGTAGAGCTAAAATGTTACAGCAAAGTAATGAGATATCAAGTACACTGCAGATGCACAATGGAGACGAGATTAACACTCTTATCATGAAAAACGATGTGACTGTGCGCGGGCAAACACATTTTGCCTTAAATGATAAAACACAATAAATGCAATGACAGACGAGAAGCTTTGGTTTTTGAGATATGCCGTTCTGTGTTTGATCTTTTTGCAAGAAATATGAGCTTAAAGTCTGAAAAGTCATTGTGTTGCATTTGACAGAGCAACAAAAGGAGTGATAGATGGACTGAAGGAGTACGCGATGGTGTCAGCACTGAGGTGTGAGGATGGATATTGTACTCGGAGCATCCTGCAGGCTAGAAAGTGCTTTTTCCGAGTCCCTCCGGGGTTGGCAAAACAAAGGGGGTGGAGAAAGAAAATTCATCAAGAGGGACTGACCGGATAGGGGGAAAGGGCATCAGAAGGTGGGAGTAAAAGGAGTTAATAAAGGAAAAGACAGACACGGACAAGAAGGGGCAGGAGAGCATGAAATAGACTTCTGGATGTGTGCTAGGAATGTGGAGAGCCAGACACATGACTGTGCAGATACATCGTTCTCCAGATTTCCATCAGGAAAAGTGAATGAAAGAGAGCATTGGTGTTTCAGATAACAGACAGACAGCAGGACTGAAGGTTGAGCAAAATAACTTATTTCTGTCACAGGCATTCAATATGAGGCTAACCTTGTTGCTTTGAACTTTTTGTCAGATTTGCATCCAGGTAGACAAATGTTTATTTGATCAAGCCCTGCTCTCTCTAAAGCTTTTTACCTACATTTAGACAGCAAGCCGCATCAGTCTCTAACACAACATTATAATTAACTTAAAAAATAAGGTGAATTAAATTAAAGTAGCTGATAAACGTGTATTTTACTGACAAAAGGCTATTTAATGTGGACTGTGCGAGTTAACCAGATAATACCAAATAATAACTGGTGATATTTTGTGTTATCTGAGTTGTAACAAACGTTATTTAATTTTTTTGTTTGGAACATTTTTCAGTGTAATTAATCACATCATTTTCAATTAATCATGCAACAAGGTCTTGAAAGAATTGAATTTTAACTGTAGCCAGATGGATGATACGGGGCACTTTTAGAAATGCGTTTTCCGCTTTAATAAAGACGCACCTGACACTCCAGTTTATCCAAAAGTTGTTGCAGCCTGTTGATCTGAGAGCACCAGTTCTCCCCGTCTTCCACGCTGCCACCTGACACTGGCACTGCAATATGAACAACAAGAGCAACTCAAAATAATTTCTAATTCTAACCAATAACTCAAACCACAGAATATATTTGATGACGTTTCTCATATTGTGCTGGAAATATACAACCAGGGTTATGAAATAAAGAAAAACAAACAAAGTAAAGACTTATTGGTCACCCTCTCCAAAGTCTTGCCTGCTGCTACTGTCACTCTTCATATAATTACATCTCGTTTATACGTTATCTCTAAAGATATATTCAATTCTGACCCACACTGTGCATACTGTGGAGCTGGAGAAACAGCAGAGAGATCGTCTGTCTCTTTTCAAGCTTTTGATTAATGCACTTAGACCCAAGAAGATGATTTCCATCACATGATGAGGGCTAGAGCATAGCTGGTGGAGCTGAACTTTGAAGCACAAGAGGATCCACATGAAGAGGTATTATTCAATGAGTCCCTTCTAAACGTCTGTTTCAGACTTATATTCTGTGTAGAAGATGTTTGGCTCCTTGTACAAGATAATATTATTTTGTTAGACTGAGGAAAGTCCTTATTCACTTTCACTTTTCATCTATAATCGTGATGTTTTAAATAAAGATCTGACGGTTTACGAAACATTATAAACATACAGTTAAAGACGATCTTCTTGGTCGCATATTTTTTTCATTTCAAGGCCAATGACCTGACAAAAAAAACTGTTTTAGACCAGTTCAACATGAAATTAATTAAGCAACAAAGGGGCACAATGGAGTTTCCACTGTAGAAAATGAAATGGCTTCATTTTATAACCACTTTTCATGATGCACTACAGACAAAGAAAAGAGAAAGCTATATTTCAAATGAAAATAGCTTTACTAAAGACTTTTAACACTTTTACCCATTAAAACAATAACTGATTTTCCTCTTACCCACGGTCAGGGTTCCAGAGCAGGGATCTGATGAGGGTATGCACTGGTTGTTCTGAACCTTGCGACCGCACCGCCTGCCATTTCTCTGCACTGCTGTCAGCTCTGGTGCCTTTACCTCCCTACTGCCGTGACAGCAGTGGAGACCCGGGGAGACAAACATCACAGAGAAAGACAGCAGCTGTCAGAGGAGTGTGGAGGGAAGAAACAAACAAACCGAAGACGTGGCGGAAAGAGTAAGTCGCACGAAGAAAAGAGCAGAGGATGCAGAATGAAGTTGAGGAGCGAAATGAGAGGATGGGGAAAAGATGTGTGAGACACACCCAGAAAAAGGGCATGCAGAGAGGTGCAAAGGATGACAAGTTAATGTGTGAAGAAAGACAAAAAGAGAGAGAAAAAAACAGCAAATGTCCTGAATGGAGTGAGTAAAGCCCAGGATAGATGCCAGGTAGGGATTTAAACATCCATTTTCACACGGAAATGATTAAACCTATGCAGACACACAGTGTTCTGTCACGGTTAGGAATTGTGTTAGGAATTGTGTCATACACCGAGTGGTCATGGCAGGGCTACACCCATAGCCTATAAAAACTTTGGGGGAACACTTCAGTTTGACTTTTGTGCAACTTTTCGAGTTCCTCCGTGACTCCGAAACATTGGCTTGCGCTTATTGGCGAGTGCCAGTATCTCCCTTCTTTTTGTGTCTATCCGTGCGCGCTGTTCTGTGTGTGAATGTGTGCGCGGCATCATGCTGACAGCAGCACACGGGGAGCGTATTGCTGGGAGGTTCTCATGCTGAGACCAGCCAGCAGTCCAAAGGCCATAAATCCGCTACAGTAAAGCAAACTGGAGAGCAATAAAACGCTGCCGAGATAAATAACTTCTTTAATTCAACATCCTCCCAAAGCTCTTGCACTCGCTTTGCCTGTCTGAAATACGTATCTTTATCATCTGTCATTTGTGGCCGAAACGGCAACGTAATGGAAACTTTATCTCCTTTGCAGCCTCCTTCTATTCACTTACTGTAGCCAATTTTTCTTTTTTCTGTACGAATCATAATCACAATATGTTATTGTAATCTTTTTTCATACTGCTACCCATCTGCCTTTTAGAGTCTCTTCTCAATAATTCACCAGAGCTCTGTTATTTCCAATAATACGAAGGTGGCACCCAGGGGGATAGATGAGAGCTTTGCTAAGCTCAGACACTTTCGAGTGCAATGGACAACCTCAGTCGCATGAAATATCTTCCCTAAATACAGTGGTTACAGTTGGTAGATTAGATTTATTTTGTTAGAATCTTGACCTGATTTGATGTTCTGAATTCTGACCAGCTCAGATAGCTTATTATTGAACTAAAAAAATTGACAGTGAGGGGTATGTTCAAAGCACTGTGCTGGCAGGCATATCTTAAATAGGCACATATTTAGAGCACATATGACTTGGAAATTATTTTTGGACTTTCATTACTTCTACATCAGAGCCCTTTTAACTGACAATAGCTTGATGAATAATGACATGAAGGTGGTGTTTGTAATGCATATTATTTGAGAGAGAGAGAAGTCATGTTTGTACACTTAACACTTCAAACAACATGAAGTTAGTAGAATCTCATCCAAAAGCTGCTTAGAAAACAACAGTTGAGAAATATTCCAAATGTTATTACGTTGGATAATACTACAATGCAGAGTACACTACCAGTAGTGTACCAGAGTTTCCAGATCTGGCAAAAGACTCATCCTCCATATCTGTAATGGATAACTTTACTTGCTTTTCTCTGAATTGGACACCATCTTTTCCTGACAGACTGAGCTTATCCTGTTTAGGTTGACGGAGAACTAAAGTCTCACACGTGCACCCAGAGGAGGTGGCCAGTCCATCAGCAGGCTAACACAGACAGACAGACGATTGTGAGCAATTCAGCATTAAATTCTCAAAATAGTGTGTCATTCTGCAGGTAGGTCTTGCACATTCTATCTGTTCATTTCTCTGAGAACAGCACCGGCATTCTGACTGTGGAAAAAGTGCCAAAACCATCTTATTACCATAAAAAATAACATATATTTTGCAAAAGAAGACTCAGTGACGATTAAAAATATTTTATGAACCACACAAAAGACTGGAGATGCAGGTACTGTTCTTCGGTAAGAAATGCTTTCTACTTCCTGTGATGAACTGAACTGAAAGTGTCTCTCAGAACCTTATAACACAGGGATAATGTTGGTAATCCCTGCGAATGGCAATGTGTGTGGTAACGTGGAGCTTACGGGGCTGGGCTGCTCTGCTCTTCCACAGCCTCCATGGCACACTGCAGGGAACTCTGTAGAGACAGCAGCTGACTGGAAGTCTCCCTGAGCATGAACCTGGTGACAAACTGGCCCAACACACTGGAACCTTGGTACTCCTAAAAGAGAAAGTTCATGATTTGATATAATCTCTTGTGTAATGCGTGACAGCTGCACTTGAATGAGGTAATTCATTCTATGAACAAACCAATCCATTATTCAGTGCCATGTACCCAAATTCCAAGGTGAAAGAACTTAAACAGTAAATGCAACAGCTGCTGGAGCCCCCTGAACATGAATTTGATTTTTAATTCTCAGTGGAATCAGATTCATGCAATGTGCTAATGACGCTTCAATTCCGAGCTTTTTAAAAACCTACAGTGACGAGTAACCTCTGCAGAATATGCATCATGGGATTATCAGTCCATAGCACTGACAGAGCACAGCTGCTAACAAGCAACGGTTCAATCCTCTGAAGATTTCCCCATTTTAAGATATTTCAGCAAGATCCAGAACCATGGAAATAGGCGATCTAATTAAGGAAGCACGTATAATTATTCAGAGCACTTCTTTATCCACACTGCTGTTTCTTGTTAGGTTACTTTTCAAATCTCATCTTGAGGACATTCTAAAGTATCCTGTCAACAACAATTGGACAATAGTATTATTGCACATCAAAATGGCTCCAAATTGAGCTCTTTCTTTTGTGCTTAATACAGTGGAAGAAACAATACCTGTTCAGTGGTGGTAGCCTGTTTTAACTACCCGGGGAGATTATCTAAGATCCATAAGGAAATGCATAAATATGGCATTTTGAATAGCGAGTTTTAAACACAGAACCTAATGCATATAACCTTTGGTGGATGGACTGATCATTACAAAATATTAGATATGTGAAAAAAGTGCAGAAATAAAACCAAAAAACTGTTTATTACTATTGTCATAAAGAGAAAAGATCGCTGGATGATGTAAGATGGGGACTGATCTGCATTTTCTGTGGAGTGTGCGCAAAGGCCATTGGGCCTGCTGAACTGAGGTGGACAGAAGTTCTGGCTGCCATTGGCTGTGGGATTTTATGGCAAAATAATCTCGTTTTCTGTGAGTGAAATACTCTGTTACTCAACATCAGCCCTGCTACACACAACTGATTTAATACAACATAAAATCAAATGGCTCGCTAAATGCTCCTGATTAGAAACAATAGACATTACAATATCGCAATTACGTCTCACCTGTTTAGTTTTATCCATTGCCTTTAAAATGGCGACATTCAGGGTCTCCAGGGCTGAAAGAACATTCAGATATTCCCCGAGGTGCTGAGAAAAATAATCTAATAGGAAAAAAGAAACAAGCTAAAAGAGGTTTTCTGGTTACCGAACAATTGGAAACATATTTTTCCTCCTACAGGTGGAGGAAAATGCATACTGATTAAGAGCAGATGGCAAGTTCAGTAAGAGAAATCAAACACTCGAGTAAAAAAAGATGATTTCTGTTTATTCACAGATCGCGCTGAAAAACTTAGATGCCCATATCTATATGTGACAAGGCTCTTTATGAGATTAAATTTATGCTGAGCCAATACACCCAACAAAGCTTCACCACAGAGGTCTATTAGCACCATTGATTTCCCAGTACGGCGAGCTCTGAGTGTTTTCTGTCTCATTTCTGCCTTATCAGACACGAAAAAGTCATTTTCTGGAGAGGTGGAACCTAGCCAAAGAAAGAGCCCATTTAATTATGGTGCAGATGCCGATTCTTTTCTTTAAAACTGCAAGACAGGGCACCCAGTCTGGAGGATGTCTGCATACTGCAGGGGCTTTTTTAATTTGAATCATTTAGAGTTACAGTGTCACTTATTCTCTCCTGTTCACTGTCCCTGACAAAAGTCATGAAGAATGAAAAGACCAAAGCCACAATACAGCATTTCCTTTACAGACCTCATGTCACCTTGATGGAACTGACAATTAAAGTTGTTTTTTCTTTAATCCAATGAATCATACTAACAAACCTCAGGGAACATTCTTCCAACCACTTAAAAATAACACAACTGTGAAGCAGAGCGAAATTTAATTAGTTATTTTCTTTTTTCACACTAACAGAAGAGTGACACACGATCAACGATGTGATCCTTGGATATTGCGCCACTGAACAATCTTCTCACTCAGAATCATTTTTTTAAACTAAAAATAACACAAGTGTTCTGACCCACTTGGTCAAACAAACATAGCACAAAGAAAAATGTTCAGTGAACTGCATCTGAGCGAAAGGCAGCGTTCTGTTTAAAGCAGTCAACTTCTCTTGACGTCAGATGGATATGATGCTTTTCCTATTGAATCAATTATGCAGGAGTTGTATTCTCAGCGAAACTGGTATTTACCAGCTTCTGCCCCATTTTTCCCAATATATCCAGGCCATCTGACGTCTTTTTCAAGAGTAGGTATATATATATAAATAAGGTCAATAAATCCGACCCAGATTTGTCAGTTTGAAATCAATGTTAGGGATGTGAAAAATAGGATAGTCTCTGACATATTTTAGTTTAAAAAAAAAATCATCTTATTTCTTTCGCTTCGCAAATAAGAATCTTGGTACAACTCTTGCCAATGTAAATATTAAAGGAGAACCTTCCACCGAATTAAAGTGCAAATATTGAAACAGCTGCCTGGCTTTTTATGAGATCTGCCACATCTCAGAAAAGAGTCTTACCAAAATATATATTACGACACATTGAATTAGACTAAGAAGTCTTTCACCAACCTGATAGCTTGTCAGTGTCCAGATTGCTGGAGGGAAGAACACAAGAAGAGATAATTGGGAAGGTTAATGGTAAATTCATGGATGTGCTGCTCTTCATATTCGACAGAGATTTGAGGGCATAAACTGTTGGAATATTGCACACAATGAACACACACACACACACACACACACACAACACTTGTTTTTGCTGTCATTCTCATCGTGTTATTGAATTGTGCTCTATTTTAACAACAAAATCAACGTTAAGAGAATTGATGTTCGTTAAACATTCACTGTCTGATGCAAATCAGGAGAAAAGATGGCTAATGGCTTTAAAAGGCAACCACAACCCATGCATTTTATGAGCTGCTCTTCAACAAAAGCTTCCCCGTTTCTGTTTCAGGTGGCCATTTACACGATTCCTGTTTTTTGGTGTCCATCAAAAGAAGGGAAGAGCAAAGCAATATATTTTTCTTTACAATAATTTCAGGTGGAAATTTTCAGTGCACTTCAAGCATTATTACCAAAGCCACATTCATAATGCCATTTATATTGTTAATGATAATATTAACAGTCTTCAATTTAGCATCAGTGATTAGATCATTAGATCATCAACTGTCTAAATGCATGGAAAGTGGTTGAAGAGGCCTCAGGGAATCAGCGGCTCAGCGCAGCTTAATACTTGTCTTAAATCAGGTTACCAGACAGACCAGAGAAATTGGCACCACAAGAAAGGGGATAATGATAATTTTAAACACACAGTTTTACAGACAAATATCTATCTTTGATGGGTTGTGGAGGGAGTAAAGTAAAGTCCAAAAATCTACCAAAGATAGTAAAAAGATTTTAGACAAAAACTTTAAAGACAGTATTTATGACCTCATGTTTGAGAAATGTCTTTTTCTCTGGCTTCTGTGAGTCAATTGATTCCCACAGTGCCCCTCAGGGAGATTTATTCTTTTGCAATTTTAGGCAAGTTATTATTTTTTTAAGTGTCTGTTTGGCCAACAGCATTTCAAGAGAAGAATTCAATGAGTTTGAATTCAGGGCTGATTTGAACTTAATCTGTTTTTAACATTATCTTGTGTCTGACAGCTTGATTGGGAATCCTTTAACAATGCTACAAGCTTCTTAAGTGTTTATCCTTTCTTTACTAGTTCTTTTAAATGACAAAAGAAACCAAGGGATTTAATGAAGGTATTATGTAAGAAACAAAAACTCACTTATTTTGTCGGCCATCTATGGAGAAAAAAAGCTCTTGTAGTTCCTCTGTGGTCAGAATTCCATCAGCAAAGTAAGTATTGAATTCATCAAATGACAACTTGCCATCATCTGAAACAAAGAAAATACAGACCTTCATCATTGCACACATATAATCATAAAAGGTAACCCCATTGCGTTGTTTTCCATCCACTTTGCCATGTTAAAAATCTATTGTGTGAATTGTTGTCAACGAAAGACAACTGATTATTATTGGTAAACCTGAATAACCCATATATGCTGTGCAGGTATGTGTATATAAGTTTTAACAGATACACAACAGAAAGAAAAAAGAAAAAAAAGAAGAAAAAACTAAATGAGGAAAAATACAGATTGTCAGCAGATTGGACTTCCTTTCAACTAAAACTAGATGAGTGTGAGCAGCTTGTTGTGTCAGACAATACACACAGAAATCAATAGCAGAAGATGAATTGCTGGGTTGTCATCTGTGAAGAAGCGCTACTTCGTGAGCGCACTATCAATCTGCCTGCTTGCACTGAATGCACAGGTGGGTCAGCAGTTAGTCTGCCAGGGAAAGCACCATGTTTTTTATTTATCATCAAACAATCCAGAGAAACAGATGTCTAAAACATTACAGACACCAGCCAATTTGAGTGAAAACTGCAGTAAGTCATGTACTTGGTACTACCCATGCGAGTGAAAAACTGACCAAAATGATCAAAACATCTATCAATATCACTGATAATGTGGCAGAGTTGGTCAAATGTTTTTTTGTCTGGCCATAAAGACAAAACCAACCAATGCCCTGTTCATCTATGAGATATTATATATTTAAAACTCAACTTGCCAAAAGTCTGTCCGTCAACTTACTTTATATCTTATTTTTCTTCTATTTCATTTTGGTAACAGTCTATTTTAACCTCCTGAGACCCGAGCTTTTATTTGGCATGCATTTTAGCTTTTTTTTTAAAGGTATATGAGATACATATTTAATTAAATGTTTTTACAATTTTGTTCTGACAGTCCCATTGACTTATTTACATTTTTTCTATTACACAATAAGAACATGATTGGATGGAAATGTATAAAACCATTTTACTTTAGATTTCAAACAGTGTCTGATAGCATCTGCTATGAGGCCAAGAGGTCAAAGCTGAAAGAAAAAAAAAAGTATCATGGTAAAGAGAGACAAAAATGCAACGTCCACTTATGACACAGGGTCTCAGGAAGATAATCACATAAACTGAAACAAAATAATCTCCCATCAGAAAAATATTGAATCGGGCTGAATGAGACATCAATGCTCATTCCTTCCCTTATTCATATTGATCTGTCACCAACATTTCAATGGAGCTGACAAACGATGAGAATAATTTTATATACAGACATAAATCTGAAATTGAAGCCTTTGACACTAGAATAAATTAACAAAACAAGTAAAGTACTAGGATGACAGTGTTTTCAGGTTTATTACGTAGACCTTATATAAAAATTGTGCAGCTTGAGGTTTTGCATTAGTGTTGAAAGGTCAAGCTATTTGACAGTACATTAGTCTGCTTTCACAATATGATCACATACATAATATTTAGAAAGTCTTCATTCAGTGAGAAGAGTCTAAGATAAAACCCATGAGGTCATTAATAATGAGTCTGCTTATTATACTGTGGCTGTATGTACACTTTTCTAAAGACATTTATAGTAATTAAAATTTGTCATTCTTTTTTCAATTAATCTTTTAGTTTCCAAAATCTTATTTTTATTTGAGGATATGGTTAGAAAGCTTCTCAGTAAAGAGCCGCCCCATTTAATATTACAGTGATTTAATATTACAGAAAGATGATTCAGCGAAGCAGAAAACTGGAGAGCAAACTTGGGGACCATCTGTTCAGATGGAATTTCTTTGACACTTCTCATCATTATCTCTGACCGGAGCGCGTGATGCACTGCTTCAGGAAACACTGAACTCACAACGCTGACCACTTTCTTTTTAAAATTGTATCTTTGCCAGAACCCCGACTCTAACCATTAAAAAGCACGACGAAACTAATTAAAATGATTTGTGGTTTGAAGACAAATGTGACACACATTTAAAGTAGATTTTTTTTTTACAAAAACAATGTGTTGGAAGATTTTACAAACAAGTTGGGGAACTAAATTAATTTGTTTATTTTCAGTACAGTTAACTGGCATCACGCAAAATGTCAAGCCGTTCTATTCTGCACAACTCTTTGCCTGAGCAGAAATGTGACAACTATGACTACGACTACTATTACAACTACATTAGTTTTAGTATACATTCCTCCTTTTTCCCCAGAGCTACCACCCTACAGCTTTTCCAGTGGAGAACCAAATTATCTCTGAAATGATTGTATCTATATCCTGGTTGCCTGGCCCCCTTATTTAAATTTTAAAGTTTTTTTGTAGGTTTTTTTATGCCAAGTCTAATCTTTATCGTTTTGAGATGGAGCTGTTCCATTTGGATTTGTTTAGCTATTTCAAACTGAGGTTTTCTTCAGTGAAGATGGCTTTAACACTGTATCGGAGATAAAGTATTATCATTAACGAGCATTAATGCATTCCTAACTAAATTCACTGTTCAGCACTGTTTTTGGCTGGTCTATGAGGTAGATTTAGATTTCATTTGCCATCTGTGCCGTAGCTCATGGATTAAGAGAGTAAAGAGCCCTCCACATGTCTCCCCTCACGACGTCATATTTGGAATATATCTTATATTCCGAGTGTCAAACTAGACAGACAGCGTGGTTCTCCGAAGTGACACTCTTCCATCTGATAGAATAATGATGACCACAGGCAGTCTTGACAGATCTGGGTTACAAGTCTTCACCCTAAAGAAGATGATCTGAACATACGCTTAAGCTGTGATTCATCTCAGGGGTCAGTTTTAATATTCATTCTTCTTATGTCTTTTTTACCTCGTTTTATGTAATCTACAAGTTGCTGAAATTGTTAAAGTGCATGTCTGATTGGACACCAAATCGGCAAAACTAAAAACAAATCAGGAGCAGATAATCTGGTAAGTGGCATTTTAAGCCATTTGGAAAATGACCTTCTGTCAGGTGTGTTTTCTTTGGTTCCACAGTAAACAGCTTTTTATTAAATCAAAGCACAGTTTTTTTTGTCAGAAACCAATTACAGGTAACTACATAAGTATACAGTCTACTGATAACTTAGAATAATAAATAAAAGGATACAGCTCCCTACATTTACTAAACTGAAAATATATCAAACTGAAGCATGTACATCTTACTTTAAATTCAAACAAACAACTCACAGCTCTCCCAGGATTTATTTATTTTTTGGCATATGGAATTTTTAAGATTACTCCCAAAAGCAACTGACTTGAATCCTCTTAAAGATATCTCATCGTGAGTCAATCACTTGGTTATGAAAAATTGTGGAAATATAGAACTCTAGAGAGATGCCTAAAGGACAAGAACGTCCCTGATCTCAGCTTTACTTATCACAGAAGCAGTTTTATCAGCCAAGCTGTTCTGGTTGAAAATGATCAAATGTGTTGAGCACAGAGGTTCCAGCTGTGCTATACCTAGCTTTACAAAGAACCATCATCTAAAATGTTTTTGCATGGCACATCATTGTGCAAGAAATTCCATTACAAAAGGAAAACAATGGAACTTTACATCATACTTAAGACTGAGGCAGAAGCAGCGTACATTAATACAGTGCAGGAAAAATCCCCCATAAATTTTAAAAAGAGAAATGTTTCAAGAGAAAGTGTGAGACCAGTCGAGTGTGTTAGATTTAAAAACACAGCTCAAGTGTAGCTTCTTCTCCTGTGCAGCAAAGAAGAAAAAAAGTCAGACAACAAAGTTTGTCTCAAGATTTAGAGTAAACAAGAACTGAATGAGAAAGTGAGGACATCCTGCAAAGTAGGGCACAAAGTAGGCCACACTCAGATCTCACCAAAGGTTAGTCCCAATGCAGACTCTCCTAAGTGGTTTATAAATTCCCCACGAACGCATCACAGCTTCGGTAGGACCAGCACCACTAGGAACGATGGGTCTGGTTTCTTCATGCTAACCTCGTATGCACTACCATGTACCCAAGCTATTACCGATTTAGATATTCTTAGTATCAATGCTCTACTTAGGATGTGTTCCAGCAGCCCATCTCCAAGTAAGGCTGAAGCAGCTTTTTATTTTCCATATGCTATGGCTGCATGCTGTTTTTAGACCCTGCAGCCCGACTTTCAATTTCACTAATGGCTCGAAGCGAGCTATATTTTTCGTCCATCTCATTGGTGCAAGTCAGGACAGAAGAGGGTTCATTAAAAGCAGAGGAGAATCGCAAATAATTTCCACTTTACCCATCACACTGACCAGTCTGTAAAGTGTGGCAAAACTGAACAACAAAGACTAATGTTTTTCGGTGATTCCATACCCGTTTTGATGCGATATCAATAAGAATTAATTAGGTGTCATAGATATGCCCAGGAAGCATGGGCAATATTAACTATATTCCAATGCTGCACCGAAGAGCAACTGGGTTGCTCAGATTTAATAGTGAAGTAAAGAAAAAGTCAACACTTTAAAAAGTTGATTTTCAACTCTACATTTTGAATTCAACGTGACAAAGCGCAATTAGTACGTTTATATTAATCCACTCCTTCACTCAAGGGGAGTCTGTAATGGGTGATTACTGTAAACAGCCAAGTAACAATGCAAACTAAGAGGCTGACATGTTGTGTACATACATATTTGAACTTGTGGATATAAACAACTAACAATATTTATTTTGGCATGATGCATTAGGTCACTACTAATAGCCGCAATGCAGCTTGGTTTCTTTACATTCAAATTCAAGCCACACTGATGGGTCCATCGTGGCTCTAAAAGAACTATGAACTCTTGTGTGTCACATTTTATAGGTCTCAGTGGGTAATGATTCAATATTGGCATGTCTTAATCATCGTTTCTCCTGCTGTCAGTGCTTGTGTAGGTGGATACATTGCAATAAAAAATAATAAGAATAATGTGGGCAGATATTTGTGTCACTGCTCTGGAGGGAGCTGTCAGAATGTGCTCTCAACTAAAAGCCACTACTCCGTGCTGTCCATCACCTCAGATTTGATGTGCACCTGTGTTGTTATCCAAC